GCGAACACAGTAGAGCCTGCCAGACGCGTCTGGGCATAAACAGTATTGTGGCCGCTGGCAGCCATCTCGTACCCGACAACATGGGCAACAAGACTAGGTCGCACACGTACGCACTCTCTCTCTTTCTCTCTGACTTGTAAGGCCATCCCCTTCACCTATAAAAGGGGATGCACTCTCTCCAAACACGAGGGCGCTAGACGATTTGAGGACTCAATGACCTGAGGACTCGAACAGCTCAATAGCTCTAGAACTCGATAGCTACACAGAGCATACGCTCCAATACTTAGCGCACGTTAGAGCACCCATCACTCTCTCCCATTCGGTTCAGAGTCCGACCGGGCCTTTAACACCCCCCTTTTTTTATTCCAACTCGTTTGTAACCCCACAGCAAACTTCGAGCATCTAGTCTTAGGAATAAAGTCACCGACCGACTGAAACTGGACGTAGGGCTAGGCCTGAACCAGTATAAATCCTGTGTCATTGAGTGCTAGGCCACATCCGATCACAACGCACGATAAAACTATAAATATTTACTTGTTGGTCAAATTTCGCACCGACAAACCATTTTTAAGAAATTCATCAAATATACTGTCACATTTAGTGGGATCACAAGTAAACTCACATCCTCTTGCCGATTTCAGTGAATCGGCTTGAGAGATGGACAAGTGAATGATTTTTTTGCGCATGCCAAATAAATTCAGCAAAGCAACATTCTTTAGTTTCATCGTCTGACCTATCCAAATGATATTCTATAGCATGCATATTTGGAGGATGTGATCTATGAACATCACAATAATCTTTCAAATGACTTTCAACAACAACAGGCTTTTGCAATAATTGATTGACAGTAAGAAACTCATAATACTCAAGCTTTTCCTTAATACTAGAGCACAAACCATCCAAAGCCAAATCAGTTAAATCTCCCTGAAATTGTCAAATAAAAGCATCAATTTTAAATGTCTCTAAAGAGTTCAACAAAGTCAAGGATGGATTCATCATGCCCTTGCTGAACAGATGCTAGATGTGACAATTTCGTTTCATGGACTCCATTACAAAAGTGTTCATGAAATCTTTCTTCCAATTGAGCTCACGAACTAATAGAACAAGCAGCTAAAGATGTAAACCAAGAAAAAGATGAATCGGTAAGAGACAAAGGAAAATGTCGAATATTCATAAAATCCAAAGTACTAGCTTCACCCATTTGAGCAAGAAAGAGCCCAATGTGCTGCATAGTAGATTTACTATCTGCACCAGTAAATTTGTAAAAAATCTGGTATCCTCCAACCATCAGGGGCTTTTAAGATATCAAAATGAGGAGGGTACGACTTATGATAAGTAGTCCCATTTGGCTTAATTTGACACCCAAGTTATTCTCAATAGATTTAGACAATTCATCTACAAACGGATTCAAAGTTTCACTTAAATCGGTAGCAAGAGCTACAAGTGCACTATTAAGCACAGGAATTTGACTTGGCAACTTCAACGGGTTAGGAAGAACTGTATTATACCCCATTGAAGATCAATTAAATACTAGCCCATGATCAGTTCGCACATTATGAGCCAAATTCGAAGCAAAAGTGACCATTGACATGGTTGTACTAACTCCACCTAAATTGGCCTTTGGTTTCGATCACCGAAGAAGGCCAATTTAGCTTTGTTAGCTATTGCATACATGCTTTGATTATCATAAAAATTATAAGGCATGCCATATTGAGGTTGTTTAGAAGTCGATTCTTCAGTGGGTGCATCAACATAATCAGACATTGACTTACCCTGTAATCTACCAAAACATGACATGATCATATTAATGACAGTCATAAGATTGTTATCAGCAACCGTCCTATGATCTTGCAACATCTTAGCATAATCAACGAGTAGAGTAAGGATCTTCTACCTCTTCATTGATTTTTACCTCTGTTGCAGTGGATGTAGAAGTGGCTAGATCATCGAAGATGGGCTCATGGAATTGAGTAACCTTGCTCCGCCATCCTTTAAAGTAGCTCGCAAGGAACACCAGTAGATCGGTGGTGAGCTTGGCCTCAATCTTCTGGTGAAGATCCTCAGGAAGCTCTTCGATTGATGTTGAGTATGTTCTCCGTGTTGAAGGGATTGGTTGGATCAACCTTCTCCTTACCGTCCTCCGACATGTTGCTAATAGATTGATTCTTATTCTTCCCTAGCGGAGTTGCCAAAAAAGTGTATGTTAACGCCAAATCGAGTCACACACCAGCAAGGACTAGCATGCTCGAGGTTGCACACAACCTAGATCATTGCAAGAACACAATAAACGACAAAACGGTCCAACAAGCTGGTTAGGTCAATTCGATGTCCGTTCTTCGCTTGGTAGATTTCTGAACACTTCTAGGGAATAGGGTCGGCAAGGCCATCTAAAACATCGCCAAATCTCATCAAAAGACGTGACAAACAACAAAGATAGAGAGAGTTAGGGTAAAAGGGGTAGTAGATGTGTTTTTGATGATTGGAAGTTGGATTCCTCAATCGACCATGATCCTCTCGTTTATATACAGGGGGTGGTCTTATCCCAATAGGAAATAACTCTAGAATGCATCCCACAAGTTTACTATGCAAAACACGATCTAAAACCGAGTTGGAGTCCAATCGGTCTCGGAACAGCAGGAAAATCGGCTAGGCTAGGCTCTTCGGTTACAGGGTAACCGGCTAGCTTGTTTGGCAAATTGGCCTAGCCGATTTGGACAGTGCTGGGCCCAAATCCTCCTTTTCCTTGCTTGGACTCCAATTCTTGTTGTGCCCAATATTTTATTTCATAATGTTGACGTCAGGAACTCAATAGTAAAGCACATTCTCCTTGTTAGCACAATTTTTACTATCAACAAATATTTTTTAAGCGAAACACTAGATAGAAAAATAGGGTGCAACCCAAACTACTAGAATCAAGAATTCCCTTGAGTGCCAAAAAAAAGTCAAAGAAAATACTAAAACCACCAAGGAAATAATTCTTACTTGTGATGACCAGCTCTAGTTATTGCAATTTGGGCTTATTTGCAATATCTCACAAAGTTGAGGGCTCTTCATCAAATAGCACAAACCAACCCAAAGGGCTAGGGTTAGGGAGATTGAGAGAGAGAGAGAGCTAGGGTTAGGGAGATTGAGAGAGAGCTTAGGTCCACCAAATCCGCCACTAAAAGAGAGAGAGAGAGAGAGAGAGAGAGAGAGAGAGAGAGAGAGAGATATCTGTAGGTGATTTGGATCCTCCACTCTTTTGTTGGCTCCTACTTCTTGTATTGCTTCATCTTATAGTGGATTTGTCTCGTCGTTGGCCATGGTTTTTCCCACAAGGGGTTTCCACATAAATCTTGGTGTCCTCTCTTGACTGGGTATTTTCTTTGTCATATGTATTGATTAAGTCACCATCTTGCTTGCTATTGGTTTGTATGTGAAGTGGTTGCTTGTATGGATGAGTTGGCATGAAAGGAACTAGGAGAATACCCCGCGCATTGCTGCAGGGATTTCAGATAATTTAAAAAGAAATTAGACTATTTATATTTATAGCTATGTGAATGAAACTATCTTAAATTAATTTTGGTGAATGGTTTGACACATCGATGCAGACAGCTAAATACTTATTAGTGGATAAAGAGATAACTATCATAATTACATGTGCTAGTTGGCTATAATTGCAAGTTATAGTGGATTGTTGATGTGGATAGCTTGCATGTTGAGAGAAATCTCTAGTGGGGTTTAGCTTTATAAGAGTATAGGATTTGAGTGTTTTTTTTATATATGGAGTATGAGATGTTGGGGATGATGTGTTAGTCAGCTAATTGATGCTATTATATTGTTGCTAGAAGATGGAACAACTTGTGGTTCGTTGGATTCAAGTTTAGGTGTTGTTTTGAATTACACACACAAGGTGTTCGGTGATATATGCTTGTGAGAAATTAGTTTGTTAATTTTGATTATTCCACTGTCCCTCTATTATCACACTACTCCTTCCATTATAATGGCAAATGGTTTCATCTTCTTCACCCAAGATGCAGTTTCACGTATTGTATTTAACTGATAAATTTTCTGCTTGAGTTGCATAAATTTGCTGTACCATTTTGACATTTTCTACAAGCTCTGTACCACATTGCATTTAACTGATGAGCCCCTCTTGTCTGAGTGGAATTTTTTTGGCTTGGCAGTAATCGTTTGCACATTGTAGAAACAAAATTGTTGGTATCTTAGTGTGTTTTCAGAACAATAGGATCTGAGCTTGTTTTCAACTGCTAGCATTGATATTTATTTTCCTTGACGGTTTTGGCACTCAAGAATGATTTCCTTAAAGGCCGGCTGCCAAAGAAAACCGGGACCATATCTAATTTGCTAAAGCAACAAGAAAATGCTCCAACCACCAAGTAAATTAGTTTCCTTTGAGGTTAATAACCTTAAAGAAAATTATCTAGACCACCAAGGTAGTAGCTATTTCCTTGACTACTCTTAACCTCCAAGGAAATTGTGATTTTCCTTGGATGCTATTGACCCCTAAGATAGTTGTGATTTCCTTGGGGCTGGCCCTCAAGGAAATGCTTACTACCATCAAAAAGAAATGCTTGCCATAATAAATTCTATGATTCTAATCACTTGACACATGAACAAAAACATATAGATCGATCCCAACCAAGATATTAATTTAACATATCAGAAAGAAGTTTACAAGTCCATTCAATATGCATGCTTCTAGCTATGAAGTCCTTGCATCATAACACAAGTGACTAATAGACCAACATGATGGACTTGAATTTGGACATTGCTAAGATATTGGTGATCTAGCTAGCTATTTGGAAAACAAAATTGGCAAAGAATATATAAAATGGCATGTACTTTCGGACTTACTCCTTGGTTCCTCGAAATTAAGATTTTAATATAACATTGTGTCATCAAGCTAAGGTAGCGGATTTGAGAAATGACAAGCTAAAGCTAGTTGGTTGTTTCATCATATCCGGCGGCCGGATTGAAGAACATGGATGCATGCTTACTCATGGAGATGTGCCCGTACAATTGACCGGTGGATGCACATGCACTCTCTGATGAGAGTGAGACGAAGCACTACTGCTCTCGTTGTTGGCGAAGTAGACGTGGTTGCATAGCACCGTGATCTCGTACGGCTTAGTGTAGGCCGGCCCCACCTTGAAGCGCACCCTGGCCTTGACGTAGGGATTCATAGGGACGCTGGTGTTCACCCTGCCGAGCTCCGACAGGTTGTCCTCCTTGGTGATGCAGAACGCCATGGGAAAGCTGGTTGTGTTCCAGGGCGGCTGGTAGCACGGCGTCGGAGCGCCGGACTCGAGCACCCACGACGACCCGTTGGGAGTCAGGTACTGCATGCTGACGCTGAGCAAGAGGTAGTGGACCCCGGCGCGGCGGCTGGGGTTAGCGACGGTGACGTTGAACGCCCAGATAGCGCCCGGGGCGACGTGCCAGCTCATGGCGTCGGTGATGGAGAAGCTAAGGCGCACAGGGCGGAGCACCACCGTGACAGCCGTGGCCACGGCGCTCGCGGCGATGGTCCCTAGTATAGCGGCCAGGGCGCACCGCTTGCCGCTCCATCGTCGGACAGATCGGCAACGACGACGGACTTCATCGCCGGTTTCCATATGCGTGCGTCGGCGGCGGTGGCAATCGTGTGCTTAGCTTGTTGTGTACTGGAACAATATATATAATGCTAGTAGCAGCTAGCAGGTTTAAGTGTTACTTTTAGCTTTTTTTTTCTTTAGCTTCATGAACAGCTCTATTTGTAGAGCTAGAGCCGTTTTGGTAAATCATTTGACAAAATAGCTTCACATGCAGAGCTTATTAAGATATGCTCTTACATAACACCATGCAGGATCCACTAGGGTGAGGTGAAGTCATGTGAAACAACTATTTTAACTCCACCCTCCACATATTTTTTGTGAGAGCACAATTTAAGTAGCTCCTTAGGTGAAGCCGTTTGGTATAAAATGGCTCCAAACTCTAGGAGCCGCTGTAGAAGCCATGCTAAACAGTGCCTTAATATTAGGTAGGGCTTTATTTGAAGCCATAGAAAAGCTGGATCCTAATAAAGCCTTTGATTTTTTATAAGCTCTACCAAACAAGCTCTAGAATAAAAGGCATTATATTCATGATTTATATCACTTGGCTTAGTTTTTCGAGCTGATGTGGACAATATATCTGGGTTTACGGAGAAGATGAGTGAGACCAATTCACCAATGATAACGTTAACACATTGCTAATAATGTCCATGCCCGGCTATGTTTAAAGCGTGAAAAAAAATGATTGTTTGCACCTGAGGTTTGTTTCCTTTTCTTTTTTTCTTTATAAATTTGTAGTCCCCCTTTTTCTATATCAACTGGTGAAAAGAAAAAGATGATTGTTTGCACCTGAGGTTCGTTTTCTTTTCCTTTCCTTTTTTCTTTAAATTTGTATTCCCAGCCCCTTTTCTTCTTTTTTTAAAGTCGCATGAGTAAGATTTTGGCTTCGAATAAAGTAATAAACACGGCGCTTTTGTTACCTTGTCAGCCTCTTTATTCTATTGCCTCGAAAGTACAGCATCCGCGCTAAAGTTAAGGGGCCGGCTGATACTGAAATTTTCATGTCGAAATCATTCGGAAATAAAGTAGGGGGGAAAATTAGCAAACGAACGCTTCACAATGCAATAAAAAGACTACCAATTAAAAACTTGTATTTGAGATATATAGATGCTAAGGTAGTTATTTACTTGCCTTGGACTTGCTTAGGTAAAACAAATGTTGGAATCCTGTTATGCCTTATGCTGATGCTACTAGACTCGACGAGTTGAAGTGTAGCGTGGGGGCAAATGACAAAGTTAAGTTAATCGTATGGATAGCTTATTCTTTTTCAATATTTTACTAACAATACAAGGTGACACTCCATCAAAAAGATATCTTACTATATTGAAAATGGTGCCTTGTGTGGCATCAACTTGTGGAGATATCTTGCTATTACTAACCAGAGGCCCTAGACACGCAAGAAAAAATATCATAAAAGTTCTCACAATAATTTTACTAATATTAATTAGAGACCCTAATGGAGACACCATGTTAATTCCCATCAGACACTATCGAAAATAGATAAATCCTAAAAATTCTCACAATAATCAGAAACATCTAGCTCGCTTCAATCATCATTATTGATAATAGCCATTGGATCTATTATAATTTATAAAAAAATACCCTCCTCTGACATTATAAAAAATATATAAAGTAACCTCCTAATTTTGCATATAAATTAACCACCTCTACCATTACGAAAGATAATTGAAAATAGCGACCTAAATTAGTATATAAATTTCCATATTTGTCATTATGAAAGATAATTCAAAATAATCCCTAAATTTACATCTAAATTACACACCTTTGTCATTATAAAACATAATACAAATAACCTCATAACATTGCATCTAAATTACCCATCTTTGTCGTTATGAAATAAAATTCAAAATAACCCTCTAACTTTACATCTAAATTACCTAGATCTATTATTATGAAAGATAATTTAAAGTAACCTCGTGTATCTGCCTCTGCTGTTATGAAAGTAAACAAAAATTTCTCTCATATTTACATGTAAATACTAATACATCTTATTATAGCAATAACACTAACAATTCATTTTAATTTATGTTAATACTCCATGATAAAGAATTTTATAAGTTGTTATTTTAAATATGTTTATACATTTTGACGGAAACGTTATGCTATATTAATATTGGTAATTTAATTTTAAGCACCCTATAACCATGTGATATAACAAGTTCAGTATGTTAAGTGTCAGGGTGCAAGCTGTGTTTCAACTTAACATGTGAAAAAAAATTGAATAAAAGATAAAAAAAAAACACTACAGTTTTCTACTTAACAAGTGAAAATTTTTGCAAAAACTCCATTAAAAATTGAAAACCAAACTATGAATTGGTGAGGTCATAGAAAGGGATATAACAAGAGTTTATATATCTTAAGATTAGGTTTAAACTAAATACATATCTGACAAGAAAAAGAAAAAAATATTATAAATTCTAACTAGAGGTCCCCAATGAAGCTACCACGTTAATCCTCGCAAGCTCGATAGGAAACCAATAGTTAGTCCTAAAAAATCACAAACATCTAACCATCAATTTGGTATAACCAAATCCTCGCAATGACCTCCATAATGACTGTTTCCAAGATCCGGCAAACACCTTTTATTTTCAATCTTCCATCTTCTTTATGTAGTAGCGATCATAGATCCAATATGTTCTATGAAAACTACCTACAAAATGGTGTTTGGTTTTGCTTTGTTAAATACCACAATATGCAACCCTTATATATATATATATATATATATATATATATATATATATATATATATATATATATATATATATATAATGGTGCATTTTATATACTCCTGGGAGTAGTTACTCACATGATCAATAAATCACGTTGCGTATGTGTACATACTCATTTATCAGTTTGAGTATGTTGACATACTCATATTAAGATACTCTAGATCTTTACTATGTGAAAATTTTTCAAAAGAGCCGATATTTTTTATTATGTTATTTAATACTATGATAGTAGTATATAAACAAGTATGACCATATACTCTAAGCATACTTGCATACTTTATATACATAGTACCCTAGATGATCTAGTATGATTATATGCGCCATCTAAATACACTTCATCGGGCCATATATGCCCTAAATCTAGAGATATAGACATGGGAGTAACTACCCCTGCCCCTGAGAGTAGGAAATAATATATATATATATAGCCCAACAAATAGCAGCCACTTTGAATAAAAATTGAATTTTAGACTTAGGCCAAAAACTCAAAAGCTAAGAACTAAATATATTAGCTATGCTAGACGTCGGTTGAATTCCAAAGGTTACATACACTGTATTCCATATACATTACTTGCTAGTGTTCTAAATGAATTATGCTAGCAACTTAGACAGGGGAATCTGAAACCATACAAACATAACACAGTAAGATCATGTACAGATAATCTGCAGTGTACAATGAGTCGGTCAGGAAAGAGCCGGAACCCACGACAAGAGCGTAACAAGTATTCCCGCACCCATAAATAAGTATGTGCTCAGGATAATAAGTCTGTGACCTGACTACCATCCACAGTAACGGACGGTCCTCAAACGATACGGACAGGAAAAACAGTGTAACCAAGCTAAACCCTGTGGCCGCGAGACACAACTCGTCGCACCCACCATAACCCATACCATATCCCTGCCCGATCTCTATTTTTCATTCATCATTTTTATCATGAGAGTAATTATAATAGTCACCTATTGTGAGTAACGACAGGTTACTCACGCTAAGAAAACATAAGCATAGCAGCTACTCGAACCTGTACTAGTAGGACTCATAGGATAGTTATATCTATGCAGGTGGTTTTTATAAGATCCATGTAACGTAAATGCACATAATATATATATATATATAGTGATTATAAAAATTAAGGGGTTATGCACCGAGGCTTGCCTTGGGCAGACGCGGTGTCAGCTAAGTCAGTCGGTGGTGGCTCTGGGACCTCTTCCTGCACGAGAATCTCCTCCTCGTACTCCTCGACGATCTCCTCGAACTCGTGCTCGCCAGTGGTCACGATCTCCGCCGACTCGTTCTCTATATGCATGCGATGATGATGATGCAACTATTTAGTATTTAGGCAACAACAACTCTTAAAATAGGAATACGCATATAAAGCTACTAAGCTAGCTCTAATGACTAATATACTAAGCTAACTATCATATTTACCAAGTAAAGTACTGGGTTCAACTAACAAACACCTAGCTTACAAATTAAGGATATATCCCTATTTCTACTAATGATTTAATGTATATTGAAACAAAGAGCATTTAACTACCCTAATGCTTAGTCTATTCTAATGCTACAAAAATTATTGTGAGCACATAATAATATAATGAAGTTGCCATAAAAATTTCAGGACTAAAGTTATCACCAATTTACCATAAAATTCCTTAGAGGTGACAGCAGGTCCTGCGGTGACAGCAGCGACGGCCAAGGCGCAGGTCCCGCGGTGGCAGTAGCACCGCACGGCAAGGGCAGGCGGCCAAGTGTGGCCGGCCACGTCCAGCCATGGCCAAGCCAGGAGCATAGCCTCGGCAACATGCGCAATGGCGAGCTACGGGAAAGGTGAAGATCGCAGCCCCCACCCAGACAGCATGAGGCCATTCATGTGCATGAATTTTAAAGCATCAACCATGACTAAACCAACTCGATTGAGTCACAACCACCTAGACCATACCAAAGAGGGTACATTGGACTACCATTAAGGGCAATAACATAGCACTGGCCTTTAGCTATATTTTTCAGAATTAATTCCCCAACATGGCACAACCATTCTGTTTTTAGACTTAGGAAATTTGCTAAATGTAGGGCGGATTTTTATTTCAACTTCAATTTCCAAACTACTAAAAATACTAGCCAGCAATTTTATTTTTCTACAGCAAGAGTTGCATCATTATCTATAAAGTTTGTACTTTAAACTTTATTTAAGTGACACAAGTATGTTTTATAATGTTTTTGCCCAATAAAAATCGGTTTTGAACCTCACTTGATACAACATGAACTATTGGATCAACTTTCATTTAACACTTTTATCAACCATTTTAGGTTACAAGAAATTCATCTACACTCTTTATCACATGTAATGTCACATAAGCATGATGCTCATGGCATGATTTAGTGGTTTGTTGAGGGTGTTACACCAGCTCTGCAGCCGCCAGCCGCTCCGCCCGAGTAGCTGCCACTGCCCGTTCCTTTGCCTCTCGCTGTCGCTGCTCTGCCTCCTCCAGCGCGGCGATATGCCCTGCACGCGCCCGCACCTCCGTGTCGTGCTCGTGCTCGTCCCGAGTGGCATCTGCATGCCTCGCGTCATGTGCTGCTGCCTGCCAGCGATGGCCGTTGCTGGTGGTGGACTCAACGGAGGAGATGGAGTTGGAGCGATGCGACATGGCACCACACAGGAAGGGGAATAGGAAAGATAACTAGGTGCTCCGATACCATTTGTTAGAACCAAAGCACTGGTTTGGAGCTGGAATTTTAGTTTTATTAGCCTTGCCACAAACCATGGTAGGTTGGAGATACATATAGGGTACCTTACTTGCAACTTAAGAAAGCTACAACATATTACAACTACTGAAGTAGATGCTAAAATAGGATAAGATAGATGATAAGGGTGCTGACACTGGTACCAACTACTCTAGATAAACATCCTAAGTAGATAAGCTCAAGACTTATAGCTGTCACCTGCTACATAGCTAAGCAAAGCATTACTGTGTGTTAAATGATATTGGTGGACTTCAGAAATAAAAAAACTGAAAAAATAAAATAAGAAAGGTGAAGAAAACTGGATACCAGTTCTGTCTAGCACAGCCCAAACCTGTTCTGTCTAATTCATATATATTGCATTCGATCAAAATACAATTATTTTTAGAATATGCTGCTCTACATACCAATCGGTTTGAATCCTTTAGAAAATAATTAAAACAAGTTGTGCATTATACCTTTACTGGTATTTTCCATTCAAGTGCCTGCAGTGAGGAGCTCAGTATTTTGTTCCGGTCACAAATGACAATAAGCTGTCCAATTGGTTTTCCAAGCTCTTTGTCAAACAATGATTTTCCTAGGGCTCTGGCAGTCTTCTTGACAGGACCCATGCCCTCTCCACCTCCCATGAGTAGCACTACAGGAAGCTCAGGATCCAATTCAAGTTCCCTCCTCAAATCATCCTGATATAAGTGGTTTCATACCCAAAAAAATCCTTTTTAAGTTCCAAAGAAAATTGATGACAGCATAATAGTATTCAGACAAATCAATGCACAGACATATATTTATCTGTTTTGTTGAAAATTAAACAGTAACGCTTTTGGGGTATACGGCATATTCATTGAACACAACAGGACAAAACCTTGTAAAATGAATATCTCAGCCTTTTGAAAGACCTTGTATGGTTCAAACTAAAATTAGCAAGAATAGAAATATAAAAACTTAGGGTGAGCTAAATACCTTAACAAGAACTCGGCAGAATGATGGTCGAATCGGAAGACCGAACGAGAGGATTTGAGAAGGTTCTAGATCATCTAGTGCTGCCCGCTTGGCAACTTCTTCTGAGGGGCAACAACATCTGTTCACATCAGCATGGAACCTATGATTTTTTCTTCTAATTGTCAGATCAAGTGAACAAATTGCTTTATGTGGCAGAACCGCCCAAATTATATGGCCCACATGTGCCTGTCGTTGTCTCACAGACTTCTGACAATAGCAAAAGTAAGCCACACAATCCCGATAGTCTGTCGGGTGTCCTCGGAAAACCCAAATCATCCACTTTATCTTTCTGAGCAGGATACATTACGGAAGACATTGCAGTATTAGAATAGTATAAACTATTACTTCGGAATAAACAACGGAAGTCTTACAAACCTTAAGTTTTACAAATCATTTATTAAGTTAATACAAATTTTTAATTTTAGCCAACTTGGCAGTAGGGTAGCATGATAGGTACCACGAGTAACACACGAGGGAGATTCACCCTGCCCAAGGGTGGGTTACAACAAACTTCTCTACTGCTGTAACTTGAGGAACTGTTCTATCTTCATCTCCCTCACACTTTACTATATGTTTTCCTTATCATTAACTGAATATACCATGTAGGGTGGCAAGTGTTGAGGTTTGTGATCACAGTTAGAAAGACTACTCTGTTTGTAGGCCTTGCCATTTGAGAACCCACAGAGGAATGTGTTGCATCACGGGGTGGACACTAATTATGATGTCTGGCTTGTACTTCTTCAGTCCAGTCTCCACCTTCCTTCATCCATAAAAAAGCATTCAGAAAAAAAATATAAGCAACAGATCATGCTGCAGATAAGACGTGGCAATCCTGAAAGGACATATGTTAAGATAAATGTTGCACAAGGAATGGCAGCACCGCAATAAACTACAGATTTGGTGGCAGAGTGGCCATTTTGGTGGCTTCAGGCACAATAGAACCTTGATTTTATAGCTTCCATCATATATAAAAAAATTTTACTATACAACATACACATCAATAATAGACCCCATAAAAATTTCAAAGCATTTGGGCTACACAAACATCAGCTATTAATCAAATATTAGCAGATCATGATAAAAACAGTTAATATGTGTCTTTCGCAGGAAATGTGATAATTTTGTAGGCATAAAAGAGAGAAAATAAAGACCCACAATACTCTACTCTTCCTGAAGTTAAAACCTTCGATAAAGCCAGTACCATTTTATTTCTCTTTCGAAAGGGTTTGGTGTTATCCATTTCAGCTAGTATTCAATATTCAGGTGAGTAAATGAATGATTGCAGTAATGCAGCACTACCGAAAACAGTGGCTTTGTTGTGTGCCACAGGCACTCGGCAAAGCCCACAAAACACTTGGCAAAGGCTTTGCCGAGTGTAACACTCGGCAAATAGCACACGGCATCTACAGTGCCGACAAACGCCTCTTTGCCGAGTGTTTTCTATCGGGCACTCGGTAAATACTTTGCTAAGAGCTGAAACCGATGCTCGGCGAAAAAAAGTAACGCGACAGCACGGAGATGGTCACGGCACGTTTGTCGATTGTCCCGGACCTGACACTCGGTAAACCTGCCTTCTTTGCCGAGTGTCAAATCCCAGGCACTCGGCAAACCTGCCTTCTTTGCCGACTGTCAAATACTAGACACTCGGCAAAGACTGGCCCAGAACGTACAAATGTTGGCTTCTTTGCCGAGTGTCCAATACCTGACACTCAGCAAACCTGCCTTCTTTGCTGAGTGTCCAATATTGGACACTCGGCAAAGACTGGCCCAGAACATACAAATGCTGGCTTCTTTGTCGAGTGTCACAGCGCAGACACTCGGCAAAGAAGCCATTTTAGTCCCAGAATACACAGAAATTTGTCACGTGTCCGCTTTGCCGAGTGGTTTTACCCTAGCACTCGGCAAAAGGCCTCTTTGTCGAGTGTAACACTCGGCAAAGCGACCATATATTCCCTGTTTTTATTGTTCGGTCATGTATAATGTACCCCACTCAAATAAACATTACAGGCATCACACATAGTTCACAATAAGCATCACAGTCAGTTCATATAGATATATCGACAACACATAAATACAAATAAACTTCAGAATCACTAGTAGGTTCATTCACAACCACAAATAGTCACAAGTAGTCACAGGTAATCCACAAATACAAATGCAAATAAAATCACAAGTAGTCACTTAGGCCACGGGTTCCACTGCAACCACGCTAGGTCATGAGGCTCATTCGATAACCCTTGCAACACGTATGGAGAAGAGATTGCTTGTGTGAGACAAGAGATTGCATGTGTGAGACAAGATTGAACAACACGTATAGTCTCTCTGCTGCCTAACTAGTATAACCCTTGTAACTATCAGCAATATCTTCTCAGTTGCATTGTGCTCTAGTATGATTGCTTAAGTACTAGTTGGTAACAAGCATATAGCATTAGTCACTAAGTTTCTAGTGTCTGGACATCTTTGTAAGACTAATGCTACATAAACTAGAAATGGTGATTATAAGGTTGTAAAGTGACTCACAATGCCTGAAACAGTATTTGGAGCAGGCTGAAGAGGAGGGACTGGCATTGGTGGCGGAGGTTGACCGATTGCAGCGTAAACACCCCACATATATTCAAACATCTGCAGCCGCTCTGCCTCCATCCTCTACCGCTCTGCCTCCGCCCTCTGTCGCTCTGCCTCCATCCTCGCCTCTAGCTCCTCCTGGCACCTCATTTCTTGTTCCAGCTGAGCCTACAATATTTCATCCTAATATTACAATGCAATGCAAAAATATGTAAAAATCAATGAAATATGAATAAAACAGAAATAACCTAGAGTGCGTTCATCTAGAACCGTGTAGAGTCCAGCTGTGGGCGTATCGCCATGCTAGAACTCGTGCTCCGTGCTCGAGTCTAGGAGAGAGTGGGAGGACTGACCGTGTCGATTGTGCCGTCGCCAATCTAGAACCGTCCATGCTTCTTTCCTCCTCCCACCCTCATGACCACTTCTCCATCAAGGTCATGGGCGTTCAGATCGTACTCTGTACCATGGACCGTCCTTGCCATCGATGTATATCCATCGAGGTGGCTGTGGACGGACTCATTGTTGTACGCCGAGGGCGGGTCCTCTGGGTTGTAGGCGACGTCAGCCGTCGCCTTTCCCTTGTGGGCCAAAACATATGCCATGAACAGGGAGCAAGGCTCGCCACCATGTGCCACCGACTACAAAAAAAGCAATATGATTAGAAATTATGCAGAGTTGAGCGTTAGAATAAAGAAATGAATTCGCGTACCCATTTAGCCACGTATTTTGAGAGGTTGAGGTTGCCTTGATGGTGTGGTGCACCCGGCATCAACAAACGCCGCTCTCGGCAAGCGTTGTGATTCTCCTCCCATGCGGGGTCGCACCACCTATCCACCATCTGGGCCTAGCACTGCAGATCGTAGGCGCACCACCACAGAGGCACCTACGTCATCAAGCATATGACATATAAGAAGATGAAATTAAGTGTAATTAATCTTAGAAAAAATAAGTATTAATATTCTATATTTACCTTCATGTATTGTTCCGGGGTCAGCCTCATGGTTCTTGCTGCACTTTTAGGGAGCCTCACTCTAAGAATTTCCGCGTGGTATTGGATCACGGCCTGGATGCGTGCCTCATAGTGCATGTCCTTGATAAGTTTCTTGGCGGCTTTGTCAGCCACAACATCCGTCTTGGCCTCATATCCCTCCTCGCATCTAAAGAAATCCTGCATATAAACGCGATGTATCCCGTCATTATTTCAAGAATATCCAATCAATGCGATGTATTGAGTAATGTAGTGCGAGAAAGACTTACCCAAAGCTCGGCCTTGACACGCTGCGCCTTGTCGGTGAATACCCTATCATCCCGATCAGGGGTGTCGGGGACGGCGGCATAGTGGGCCCAAGTTTCGCCGAACTACACCAGGCCAGGGAACTTTTTCTTGATCAAAAGACCAAGGATGCCGTTCACATGGCGTGCTTGATCACCCCCACTGACCTTCCTCCAACCCCTGCCCAAGTGATTAAGATAAATTATTAGTTTCTATTGTAATTTTAAACATATCAAACGAAAAATTAGTGATAACATCTAAAGTTACATACTTGTCTCCATCGGGTCGAATCAGTGGACGTCTCTCAAGAGGTATCGGTCGCCTCGGGAGGGTCGAGGGACATCGCAACCACACGTGCGATGAAATAGAGGAAGAGGTAGCCCCTGTCTCCTCCACTACTGCGCGTGTGTGGGGCCATGAAGCGGTTTGCCGAGTGTTCCAGGTCTGACACTCGACAAACCCCAGTTTTGTCGAGTGTCGGATCATAGGCACTCGGCAAACATATTTTTTTATTTTCCTTCTTTTTCATAATGTGTTTTCCTCAATTTGTTCCAATATACTTTGAAAATACCTTCTCAAATTCACTGAACAATATATATTTGATTTTTCTAGTAATATTATTTGATTATTTTATGTAGTTATAGCTCAAATTCAATCTATATCAATTAAAATCCTATAATTGCACTTAATAAATTAAAATTATCAAACGGATCCAAAAAATTACCAAAATTTCACATGAATCAATCTTTGTTCTCTATTGCCTATACAAAAAAGTTTTGGAGTCAAACCCTAATTCGACCATCACTTTGACTCCAAATCCTACCAAATCCTTCTCAACACTACGATTCTTCTTCTGAGATACTTCGGTTTGTAAACATCATACGTGATAGATTGTGCAAAACCTTCTCATTTTTTTTACCACTGCCTCTCATGATTTTCAGACTTCGTTTGTTTTTTTTAGAATTTAAAAACCATTCGGCCACACGTTAGTGGTCGTGTTTCCTGAACAAGATCTTCGAAATTTCTTTTTATTTCCCGGGTAAGGCCTCACACCGGACTCAATAACATGAATATCATTTTTCTACTCATTTTATTCTATTATTTGAATCACTTGTAGTTCAAATTTGACTTATACCAAAAAATTCCTTGAAATTCAATAATTAATTAAATATAGCAAACAAATTGAGAAATATACCAAATCTTAACATGGAGTACCACATGTTGTATGTGAAGAGTAGAAAAAGTTTCAAGGTCAGAAGAGAAAAAAAACTTATTTATTTGCCGAGTGAAAAAAAAACACTCGACAAAATTATTTCTTTACCGAGTGCTAAAGGAAAACATTCGGCAAACTTACTTCTTTGCCGAGTGCCACCAACAGACACTCGGCAAACTCCTAACGGCAGGCACACTAACTGACAGGTGTTCACGTGGCGGTTTTTTGCCGTGTGCCTCTATTTTACCGAGTGTTTTTCCCTAGTTTGCCGAGTGGTCTTTTTTCAGCACTCGGCAAAGAGATTGGTATGCCGAGTGCCATTATTTTACCGAGTGTGGTTTCTGCAGCACTCAGCAAACAACTTTTTTGCTGATTGCCCGATGAAATGCATTCGGCAAATATTTTGGCACTCAGCAAATCACCTGTTTCCGGTAGCGCAGGTTGGTTTTAGTCAGCCTTTTCCAGAAGTGCATGGAGAGGAGTACATCCTTGAATCGCAAGGAGATTACAAGAGAAAAATCCACTATAAGACCCAGTTCATCCGCTATTACCAAGGGCAACCTCTGTTGTTTCCACCAGTCCAAAAATAATTATACTGTCATACCGGTACTCGTCCACCACACATCAAACAAGCACGCAAATCTAAGAACCTGGAAGGGGATTGGATTGCAGGAGCGTGCACGCATCCGCCCCAGCAAGGCAGCAATGGAAGATTTGGATTTGAGGACAGACAATGTGGAAAGGGAAAATGCTGTTCTCAACTCGAAAAAGCAAGCAGTTAATCTGGGGAAGGAAATATCTAGCGCTTACTTACCAGGACCGGCGAAACAATTCGAGGCCCCATTGGACGGACGGATAGTACCGGCCCCGCTGTGTTCCGTTTGTCGCCGAGGCCGAGCCAGCTCTCGTGCGTCGTCATCACTGCGGGCGCGCGACCCTCTTGTGCCTGGCCATGTCGCCGCCGCCAGGGTCCGCCGTGCGTGCAGGCCGCCGTGGGCACAGGCCTGGCCGCGGCGTCGCCGAGGTGTTGAGTTGTGATCCAAATTCAGTTATGTACAAGATAAAGGCTAATTTCTGCCAGAGCGAAGCGAGGCTCGTCGCCGAGAGGCCAAATTCAGATTTTGCTGCCGATTTGGATAAGAGGAGATCTCTCACAGGTTATGTGTTCACTGTTGGTGGTTGTGCTGTAAGTTGGAGGGCAACATTACAGCCTGTTGTTGCCCTGTCTACCACTGAAGCAGAATACATGGCTGTTGCTGAAGCATGTAAAGAATCGGTTTGGTTGAAAGGTTGGTTTGCTGAGCTTTGTGCAGATGATTCTTGTATTAATTTATTTTGTGACAGTTAAAGTGCTATATGTCTCACTAAAGATCAGATGTTACATGAGAGAACGAAGCACATTGATGTCAAATACCATTATGTTCATGATGTTGTCGCGCAAGGTAAGCTAAAGATATGCAGGATAAGCACACATGATAATCCTGCTGATATGTTGACAAAGCCAGTCCCTGTTGCTAAGCTTGAGCTTTCAGCTCAGTTGATATAACTTTTTAGCCCAAGAGGTTATTTGACACCGAAAGTATTTCTTTGTTGTTTCATGATGAAGGTTCGTTTTATGCTACAAGAAGAAATTTGTCTCAAGGTGAAGTTTGTTGAGTTATGATCCAAATTCAGTTATGTACAAGATAAAGACTAATTTCTGCCAGGCATTGGCGATTAGGGCCATCCTGGGCGTCGGCCCCTTGCTCACGATATATTTGCCAGGCATGTGGCGCGGCAACATCTGCTATGTTGGATGGCTTTTCCGAACGTGGAAAAGCTTATCGCGCCACTCCTGGTGGCGTGACAGTATTGTCTTGTCGCGCCACCGGGAGTGGCGTGACAAAACTAAATTTTCGAAAAATCATAACTCTTCGATACGACGGCGGATGAAGATGATTTTTATATAAAAATTGTAGATCTCAACGAGATCTACAACTTTCTAATTTTGAGTTTTTTCATTTGAGAACGTTAAGATGCTCAAAAAAATAATATAAAATTTTAGCACCATAACAATCGCGTACCAGCTCTTGCTACATTTAAAAAATAATATCTTTTTTGTATGATGTCAAAAGAAGATATATTTTATATCAAAGTTGTAGTCCTAATGAGTCTACAAGTTTATAGTTTTGAGTTTTCATATTTGAGGTCGTTAACGTACTCTAATAACTAATATAAAATTTTAGCAGCATATTAATCGTGTATCAAAACTTATCTTTTTAAAAAAATCGTATATTTCTTATTTGATGTCACATAAAACTACTTTTTAAATAAAAATTGTGGATTTTATTGGGACCTCCAATTTTGATATAAAAAGTACCTTCATTTGACATGATACAAAACGATATTATTTTTCTAATGCGACAAGTGCAAGTACGCGGTTATTATGCTACTGAAATTTTATATTATTTTTTTAAGCATCCTAACGACTCCAAATGTTAAAACTCAAAACTACAGAGTTGTAGATCTCATTAAGAGCTACAACTTTCATATCAAAAGTATCTTAATTTGACAACATAAAAAATGATAATATTTTTCTAATACGACAAGAACTAGTACGCGGTTATTATGTTCCTGAAATTTTATATTATTTTTTTGAGCATCTTAACAACTCTAAATGTTAAAACTCAAAACTACAAAGTTGTAGATCGCATTGAGAGCTATTACTTTCATGTAAAAAGTATCTTTATTTGACAACATATAGAAACGATATTATTTTTCTAATACGACCAATATTAGTACGCGGTTATTATGTTCGTGAAATTTTATATTATTTTTTCAACATCTTAACGTGCTCAAATGAAAAAACTCAAAACTATAAAGTTGTAAATCTCATCAAGAGCTATAATTTTCATATAAATTTTATCTTCATCCGATGTCGTATCAAAGAGTTATGAGTTTTCAAAGACTTGGTCTTGTCACGTTACTTCCGATGGCGCGACAAAACAATACTGTCACGCCAGCGGGAGTAACGTGACAGTGTTTTCCACGTGCCGCGCCATTGCATGTGGCACGACAATGTTATTTGGTCGCGCCAGAGGCGCTGGAGCGACTAAAAGGGTTAGATCCGCAAAAAAAAATTAGAGTGATTATTATTAAAATATTAAATATAGAAGGATTAAAAATAAAAGAATCCGAGTTGCAGCGAGCACTTGAGATTAAAATTTAAATTGGTTGGACCGTTTCAATAATGAGCACTGCCGGTGTCCGTGAAGACGTTGGTGGGCCTTGTTAAGCCAGTATGCGTGGCCAGCGCCCAGAGAATAGTGAGGAATTCGCCGCCCTCAACCAGCGCCGCGTAATGCCCACGGAGAGCCGCCTCGGTCGCCGTCGCCGGCGCCAGGTAGACAACGACCTGCGCCCAGAGCTGGGCCAACACCTTCCAGAGCTCCTCCTTGCTGCTCCTCCCCGCCACGAGCTCGCCGATGAGTTTCTTCCCCAGAATGGCTCCGTGCTTGACGACGCTCCCCTCCTGGTCCATCCCCGTGCCGCAGGGGCCGCCGTCGGCTATCTGGAGCAGCCTGTCCAGCCGGCCACGCTCTTCCATAGCGTAGTAGCCCCAGCACCCTCCCAGCGTGTCCTTGAGATCCTTCACCGCGGTCTTGTACTGGTGCTGCGTCTCGTTGCGGTCGTCCGGCAGCAGCTCCGGGCGGAACGCCACGAGGTAGGCGCAGTACCTGGACAGCACCGTCGCCGTGCGCCAGTGCCCGCCGCCGCCGGCAGCATCCTCTACCTTGGTCTTGTGCGGATGCTTTGCGTCGAAGATGGCGGTGGCGACGTGCCACGTGAGGATCACCCGGACGATGCCATGGCGGCGCACGCACGCCGCGTTAGGCGCGTACTGCCCCGCGAACGCCAACCCGACGTCCCCCCCAAGGCCAAGGGTGGCCTCTCCGCCGCTGCGGACAAGCTGTGAAAGATGCTCGATGACGGAGACCTTGACCTCTCTCGGTGCCACCACCGCCTGAGGTGTGAGTGTGACTCGGTGGCAAGCCATCCTTATCACGTCGTGCTGCATCAGCGGCAGAGGGCGCCGCCGAACCCTTAGCTTCTTGCCCACGTACTGCAGGCACCGGATCACCGAGGCAACGGCGTTGCGGCAGTACTGGCGGCGCGGGTTCTGCCGCGCCAAGGTGCACAAAAGCGACACGACGAACCAGTTGGAGAGGAGGAAGACCCCCACCTCGCACACCTCCTCGTAGACGAAGGCAGCGAAGAGGAACAGGGTGATAGAGAGGTCGATGGTGGCCAGCAGCGCTGGCGGCGAGAACAGGACCTTCTGCAGGAGGCACACGACCGTCCTGAGCGTCAGGACGGAGTTTTCTTCCCTGACGCTGCGCCATGTCCACAGCACGTCGCCGTAGCCCGAGGCGACGACGGTCATGAAGCATAGGCAGGCCACCATGATGGGGAACAAGATGTAGTTGACGAGGAAGAAGAAGGGACTCGCGAGGACGATGGGGGCAGAGCTGTAGTAGTATTCGCTGAGGAAGGTGACCTCGTCGGCGATGAGGCGATACACCTCCTCGGGGCCGCCGCCGTCTTCTAGTTCTCCGAGGATGAGGTCCTTGCACGCGGTGATCTCCATTTCGTCGTACGCGGCTCGCGGCCGTGGGTCCTCGAATCTGCGGCGAAGAAGCTTGAAGAGCGCGAAGGAGAGGCAGAGTGACGTGTCCAACTCTCCTCTTCCTGGCTCTCTGCAGACGGTGGCCACGGTGGTGACGCCGCTGACGTTGGTGTCAGCCGTGACAATGACGTAGCCGAGAGGCCCGGTCTTCCTCCTGATCTTCTCCTCGCCCTCCACCGCGAACTCGCAGGTCGTCCTCTGGAGGCGGCGATGGTCGTCCCGTCCCCGTCGTCGCCGCTCCAGAATCAGCTGCGTGTAGGCGCCGATGATGTCCGGGTTCCGGCCAGCGGCGAAGGAGCGGCGGATGACCTCGGTGATGACGAACCTCTGCACCATCTTGGCAGCAGCGACGGCCCAGAAGATGCCGAACACCGCCCTCCTGCCGGCGTCCTGGATGCAGGAGAACACGAGGCTGCCCAGCCACACGATCTGCGCCGCGTGCGCGGCCATGGTCGAGTAGCCGGTCATCGTGCCAGCTTCGGGCACCCACATGGACTCGACTTTCTTGCGGAGGAGCTCCACGAGGAGCATCCACGTGAGGATCAGCCGCGCGCGCATGGGGAGCTCCGGCGGGCTGATCTCCGCGGCGGCCGTGTTCGTGTCCGCGCCGCCGGAGTTCTTGGCCTCCGAGAAGAGGTACGACATGATGGGTAGGAAGAGCGATAGCGCGGTGCAGCGGACGACGCGGACGGCGGCGCTGAGGTGCCGGAACATGGTGAGGTTGAAGAAGAGCACCGTGAGCGTGAACATGGCGACGGTGGTGCCGACGATGCTGGCCCGGTTGGTGTTGTCGGTGTATGGGGAGGTGATGTTGTAGATGTAGGAGCTCATCACTTCTGCCCTGCAGTATGTAACGTTACTGCCGAAGTAGGAATCCATGCTTGCTTTCTTTCTTTTCTTGAGCGAAAAATGATACTAGTATGTCTTAAGCCATGCTGCCCATGCATGCACATATAGCATGAGTTGATCGAGTGGATGTTGCTAATATATATAATACAATGATCGGATCGGAGGAAACCGCCTTCGATCCTATCCTTATATGGATATGGAATGGCTTCCAATCCTAGCTATAGATGATGCTTGCTTGAGCGAATCAGACATTTTGCTGGCAAAAGTAAAATCCCTATATCTAGGACAGCCTTTATTTAACGAACTTTACACTTTTCTTTTGGACAGCGCGTTTCATATAATAGCATGCCTTTATTCGGCGCTAGCTGAATTAACCCCTGAAATCGTTGCTTTCAATGAATTTGCTATATTGTGCAATGTGCGTGTCGAACTTTTAGATAACGAAATTACAAAATTCCAGACTCTTACAGTAAAAAGATTTCACCAACCAAGTTATCATATGAACACATATCGTCGCCAATGAATAAAAATGTTTTGGTACGTCATGACACCCGGCCTTATACATCCTCCATAGCGTTCTATAGTTCAGTTGTTATTATTAGCAACATATATGAACATCTGACAGATTGATCCTTGTTGTTGCTACTTGTGCTTTGCATGTTGCCAAATATATATATACATAGGTAATGCATAATCGTAGTCTTCAAACCTGAGGGAAATACTCTACTGCTCACAATAAATAGGTGACTGTTAATCTGTTATACATGACGAGATGGCATAGAAAAAGAACTTTGTTTGGTGTAAAGTTTTCAAAAAGTAAAAGCCAATCTGCTGCATGTGTATTTTCAAATAAAGTAGCATATACTTCTAGAGGTGATGAAGCAAGGAATAAATTAAAGTTGCTAGCTAGAGATTACAAATAAAAATCCATCTGCAGATTACTTAATTAGTGTTAGATTTAGTCCCACCTTACAAGTTGAGTTGAGTGGAAAGGCACAAGAAATAATAAGATAATCTTATTGTTTTCTCGATTTTCCAAAATTTGCCAATGTCTAGCGACTAGTTTGAATTATCAGTAAAAAAATATTTTCTAAATTAAATCAGTGATCATAGGATATAAATGTTGTTTGATGTATGCATGTTGCTCTGTAGTTTTTTCCGTATACTATCACAATACTGAATTGTCTTGAGTGCTAAAAATTTCCTTAAAGGACAAAATAGAACCACCAAGGAAAGTGTAGTTTTCTTGGCGATGCTCATCAACCTCCAAGGAAATATATATTGCTTGAGGGTTGAAGTACCTTGGCGGGTTCTAAGCACCTGCAACGAAATTACTCATTTCCTTGAGTGTTAAGAAAAATGACTATTTTCTTGAGTGTTATTCTTAACCGCTAAAGAAAATAACTATTTTCTTGGGTGTTGTTCTATACTGTCAAGGTAAGTTATCATTTCCATGGGGGTTTATTGAATTTTCTTGGAGGTTGGCTGCCAATAGAATGCTTGTAAGTACTTTGGCATACACTTAAACAAATATGACGTGTGTATTAAGTGCCTATGTCTCGTTCATAAGATTAAAAATTATTTCTATGTTCATTAAGACACATGACATCTAATAAACTTACTAATAGTATCACTTGGGCACATATAACACTTACAGATATATGACACATACACAAATATATTACACTTAATAATGTCACTTATTCATTTTGAAACTCTATTGAGCAAATAGAAAGCTAGCCCATTCATAATATATAAATATGTTAACTAAAACATAACAAACACCAGCCCACTCCTAACAAATATTTTAGGTGAACTAAACATGTTTAAGCGTCACGTATGTTTGATTGTCACATGTGCTAGTCATATATCATTTGTTTTATAATTTAAAGATCTATTTTACCACACATGTTAGTCATACATCATTTCAAGCCTAGATACATTTAATTCTAAAATGCAAATCACAATAACTATGGTTTACATGATTCATATGCGCCCCAACACGATCTTGACATGAACTAGACAAGCTAAGCAATGTTGTCAATGATTTTCAAAGTGATTTGCTATTTTCTAAGATTTGAGTGATTTTCTACATGGTTTTAGAAAGTACACCAACTTGAACGGATTTTCTAAATGGTTTTAGAAAATAACACCAACTTGAATTACACAAAAAAAAATCACCCTTTCATATGAGATGGAATCAAGATAAACTTTATATCGAATCTGTAAATTTTAAAGAGATCTAAAACTCTGTGGTTGACAACTTTTAAATTTGAGATGGTTTACAGGTCCAAATATTTAATATAAGTTCTCGGATCAGATATGAGATGATTAACAATGTTGAATGGAGACAAAGTCAACATTAAAGGTGTAGTATTTGACGAGATCTACAACTTTGCAGTCAATGACTTTTTTGTTTACTAGATATATGCCCGTGCGTTGCACGGAGGTAATAAATTTTTATCGACGTCTATGACGTGGTTTTTGGTTTAGGCGAATATATTAAGAAATCTATAAATCTAATTACGTGAACCACATTTCATGATCTTATCACATATATCGTGTATATCTAGTTTATACAAACCAAATTGGTTTTTATTTTTAATTAGTACGCTATTTGAGTTATTATTATATATATTTTCAGAAATTAATAAAAAAACTAATAAATATTTTTGCAGTGTGAAGCTTAAAATATTTCTAAATTCATCAAGATTTTTGTCTCGATGTGGTGTTTTCTTCCACGCGAACCATCGTCCTCTTAGGGTGCATCCAGCAACAGGCAAAAATCGCTAGTTGACTCAGCTCTTGTTCGACGAGGTGGCAGAGGGAATTCTGTGTTTGTGGATGGTTCCGTGGAGATAGAAAACACAAAACAAATCATGTGTAGGACCTACATGTGAGCTCCTCAAATCTCTAGCTGCTGGCGATTTCTATTGAGGAGGTAACGGATGAGTACAGATTAGTGGTCTCCGGCTGCACTTGTTCCAAAGTCTCACACCCAAACATGTTTGCTGGAATTGGACGGGGTGGTCTGTCCGTTGCCGGATATCTGGTTGTACTGCACGAAATCTGTGACCCAGCGGATACCGCTGCTGCCGTTGTCCAACTGCACGTAGTAGCCCTTGGCTTGGCGGCGTCCCAATCTCAAGCCGCGCTGCGCAGACCCACAGGCAGACAGCCAGAAACGCAAACGCGCGCCGGCGAGGATGATAGATGACGATCACGTACTCGGTCGCACGCGGTGGAGCATGTCTGCAGCACCAAGGAGCTGGCCGTGGCGGCCACGGTCATGCCTCCACAGAGTCGCGAGGTGCTCCTCCACATTCCCGTCTCCACGGCGCGGGAACTTGCTGGGAAACGCGGAGGCGAGCGGGGCGAAGGCGTCGCTCCAGACGATACCGATGTGGGGCGAGGCCCGAGGGGAGCTTGGGCTCACGTACGTGAGGACTGCGGACTCGTGATTAAGCTGGGGCAAAGCGATTAGTTTAGCGTCCGACGATGACAATAAGCATTTTTTAGGTGACGAGATCTATAACTTTGCAGTCAATGACACTTTTGTTTAAAATCATTTAGAGTGTCAAATAGATATCATAAAATTCGAAATTGTGTAGGTAAAAGAATAACGACAGCTATAGAGTCATAGGTGCTGCTGAGGTACTGCTAGCCTCTTTCACAACCGTCCCAGCAACTCCGCATTGTCTCCGTCTGATGGGCCACAGGGAAGCCGGCTTGGTCGGCCCAGGGTGAAGAGCTCTCGCGTATACGGGCCCAACTGGTTGAACAAGTGAAGATGTACCACCAAGGGCGTGTCTGTGTGTGAACGGGCTACTCACCAGGGTTCAAATCCCGGTATTACACTTGTTTCTTGAATTTTTTCAAAAATTTTAGGATATTTGCGTGTGTACAGACGCGAAGCCTCACGCTAACAAAAGAATCTTTCACCTCATCCGCCTCCTATCCCTCGCTATGCTCTCTTCCCCGAATTCCCTATCCAAGCCTCACGCTAACAAAAGAATCCTTGTGGTATCATACCACCAACAAGAATCCTTGTGGTGGATCATGGTTGCGGATGTCACTATACAAAAATTAAAGATACAGAGGAGACCGTCACTGTTCCTTGGTTGGAGATGATGACACTGACACTTTCATGGTTAGGCTCTTTAGGTTGGTTTTCACAATCACCGTGTGATTCTATAACCGGTAAGCAAGTGACTCAGTATCAATGATGCCTTGTTACCCGGCAGCTTTCCTATGCATTCTTTTCCTTTTGAAGTTTGAGACCTGTTGATGCAGATGTACCCTCATCCAAACATCAACATGGTTTTTCTTTCACTTGTCTATGTTAATAGGGAAATTTTGCTCAGAGATATTGCATAAACATGTAATTTGCTGTTGGACACCGTCAACTCGAAAATTGGCCTAGTACCATTATGAAATTGGATTTCTTTGCTATAACACATTGCGCCCATTATTTAATTCATTTCTCGTAATTGTGAAGAGAGAAGGTGGGAGATAACATTTTTGCCATCGTCATCAACCTCCGCCTGTTCCCGTTCGCACCTTTTCTTCTCCGGCGAGGTCTTCCATGACCGGCTATTTCATTCTTCGTTTTCCCAGCCTGGCAGTCGCGTTGTTTCCGCGCCTAAGAAGAGCAGGGCCACCTCAGCCCTCTCCCTCGTACCGTGGCCGCGCAGCCCTGCTGCCCCTTGCCTAGCGCCGCATGGGAGCAATGCCCCGGGGCACTCCCTACAGCACCACCACCGGCGACCACCTTGGCCCCGCCCTCTGGCCCTCCGTGTCGCCGCCAGTACCTGCTTCGCTAAAGCTGCGCGCCCTAGCCGCCACAGCCGCCGCGATTCTGTTGTTAGCCGCGACTCGAAACCGCGCCCCGCGGGGTCCGCCGTGCAGAGCCGGGCGAGGTCGGCGTCGCGGCACATGAGCAGGAGCTTCCTCCCGTCGCCGAGCAGGGTCGGGGACGACGCTAGCACGGCCCACGTCGACTCATCCATGGGCCAAGCGTCCTCGAACACGAGCAGCGACGGCCCCCGCCCCGCTGCGGCCGCGAACCGCGGCTCGGCGAGGATGCGGCGCACGCCGGCGAGGTACTCCGGCCCGCCGCTCTCCCACAGGTACTGCATCGGCTGGCCGCCCGCACGCACCACGTCGAGCGTCTCGAACCACTCGATGCGCGCGAAGTGGCCGCCGGAGCCGCCCCCTTCATGGATCGGAGACGAGTGGCGCCTCCCTGTGAACTAGCGTCGTCGACGTGGGCTCCTACCGCCGATCGGCGGTCCCAGCCGCCCCTATCCCCCATCCATGGCCAGAGCGTGCCCCGCCCCCTGTGCAGGTGGCCATCCATGGCCGCCCATCTGAAGGTAGAAGACGACCACAGTGAACAGCGAGTATGTCTACTACACAACCATGTGTTTTATGCAATTTCAACACATGAATTTTTTTGCACCATAGGATTAAGATCCAACAGCCTCCACCATTCTTCTACCTCTAGCTTGCAGGCTCCACAGATCACAGATCATAGATCATAATTTTTTTTTCATGAAAGGACAAATCACAGATCCGCCGCCGCTGGCGCGGGCGCGGGCGCCGGGGCGAGCTCGCCGGTCGCCGGCGCCGGTGGTCACCGGTGAGAAAGAGAGGGAGAGAGATAAAAAAAAATCTATGTGTTTTTTTTTTTGCTAAAACATATGTGTGTTGTATAGCATTTCTGATAAAATAATGGCCGCAGTGTGTTACGACAAAGAATCTCAATTTCATAATGGTACTGGACCAATTTTCGAGTTGGCGGAGTCCGACAGCAAATTGCACGTTTGTGCAGAGTCTCCTAGCAAAATTTCCCATGTTAATATCACGAGTTCACCACGTACAGCTTTGACGTTCCGCGATTGTGAAATGTTGTGGTGGTTTGAGTTATCAGCGTATGGAGGGCTCATGATTTTGCAGTTTCAAATCACCATCTTCTTCAGATTTCCCCAACAGCGCCCATGTAAGTTGGTAACCATACTGAGGTTTGAAACACTGATGTAAATTGAGCTAGTACTTTAGCTACTAAATAACAGGTTACAGCTACGAAACTCGGTAACAAAGTATACACCAATGGCTATCTTGGTTATTGCAACGTGGCAGGAGTGCCACATTCTGTGTTTTGCTAGGTACTATTTGGAAGAACAAGAACAGCAGCAGCCATCACTAGCTCAACGCCTCGATTTGCGTGGGCCGCCACATCGTCTTCCTGACGCAGAGCAGCCCCTGCCCCTGCTTGGACACGGTCATCCTGACCTCCCAGTGCAACGATCTCGCAATGTTCTGCAGCTCCTCGACCGTCGCCTTGTCGTCGCGGACGATGAGCTTCCCCTCCGGCCTCAGGATCCGGTCCACCTCGGCGATCACCGGCAGCAGCTTGCACCTGCAGCAGGGACGAGACGAGAGGATCGGAATCCATATGGGGCCATGGCTCGGCTGTATGATCTGATGGAGCTCTCAGTCACTCACCTGCTCTTCAGCTTGGAGAAGAGGTGGTCGGCGTGGACGAGGTCGTACGTCCTCGGGTAGGTGCTGAAGGACTCGCACCAGTCATGGTACATCCCGAACAGCCCGCGCTCGTAGATGATTGGCAGCGTGTCCGGCGAGTCCACGGTCACCACGTTCATCACCCACACCTTCATGTCCCGCAGCGCCGCCGCGAACCTGCCGAAGACCAGACGGCCGGAGACGATGACGGTGAGAATGATCCATGGAGCATGCTGCACGCACGAGTACTCAAAGACGATGTCTCCTACGCTACGCACCCTCCGTAGACGGCTCTCATGTCCATGACGTTCCGGACGTTCTTCCAGTCGATGCCCATGCCGTGGAGGTACGAGTTGTCGACCACCTTCCGCCAGTGCTCCTGGTCTGCGGCGAAGTCGGCGGGCGCGGGCCTGCCGTAGACGCCCACCTGGTCGGCGCTCAGCCAGTAGGGCGTCGTCGCCAGCCGCTCGGGCCACTGCGCCGGCCACCGCGAGCCGCGCGCGGACGCGTCGGTGGGCACCCGGTGCATGCACGGCTGCAGGGTGACGTTCCACGCCGCGTCCTGGTCGTCGGAGGCCCCGCACAGCGGCGGATCCGCGCGCGCCCTCGCGTCGTAGCACTCGTTGCTCGTCGGCTTCTTGAACACCACCATGGCGGTCTGGTCCACCGTGTCGCTCGTCTTCTTCACCATCTCCCAGCACATGGACTTGGTGAGCGCCGCCATCTCTGTTGCAAACAGGAACGGGATCATGGAAACAACTCAAGAAGGTATGGTTTGGAAGCAGCAAGCAGGTAACCAAGTAACCCACCGTGCCAGATCTCGACGTCCTCCGGGACCTTCCGGTACACGGGCGTCGCCGACCACACGAAGAGGCCGCCGGGCCGGAGGAGGCGGTTCACCTCGAGCAGCAGCGTGCCGCCCTCGATGTGCCACGGCACCCGGCACCGGGCGCAGTGGATGACGTCGAAGGCGTTACCGGGGAAGGGGAGCCGCTTGGTGCCCATGACGGCGGAGACGGCCGGGATGCCGCGCTCCAGCGCGAACTGCACCTGCGCCTCGTGCTCGTCCTTGGGCGCGAACGACATGGTCAGCGCGTCCTTGTCGAACAGGAAGCCGCCGAAGCTGGCGACGCCGCAGCCGACGTCGAGCACCACGCGGCTGCGCCGGCCCCACGCCACCTCCGGGAGCGCCTCCTCGATCACCTCGATGTAGTGCAGCGCGCCGTTCTTGAACTGCGTGCCGCCGCCGGGGAACGTCAGGTGCTCGCCGGAGACCTTCACCCAGTTCTGGTGCCCCTTGTAGGACGCCAGCATCGTGTGCGGCACGTTGTGGTACCAGATCTTGTCGCGGCTGTACGGCCACGGGATCGGCTGCCGGTAGCCCTCTGGGAGCGGCACCAGGCACGACGGCGCGTTGGCGGGGCAGTGCCGCTCCCGGTGCTCGTAGTGCTTGTTGCTCTTGAGCTTCTTGATGGCCGCCTCGTTGTCCAGGCACGGGATGTAGTCTGCGCCGGTGCTCACGTTGCAGAGCTTCCAGGTGTGGCTGTACGTCTCCTCCTCCGCCGCCGTCTCGCCGGAGGCGGCGCCCTGGTCCTTGCTCTCCTTCTTATTCTTTTTCTTGTTCTTGCCTGCGCGCGCTTTCTTCTCCTCTCTCGATTCCGCCGCCTGGGTCGGGAACGCGCCGTTCTCCGCCACCTCCGACGCCGTCTCGTTCAGCAACTCCGCCTGCCCGCTCGGCAGCAGGTCTCCTTCTCCAGCCGCCGGTTTCTTCTCTTCGGTTGTGGCGCTGCTGTTCATTCCGTAGCTGTCTTCAGTGATCTTGCTATCGTTGGCGCCATCATCCGCGGCTGCAAATGCCATGGTCTCGGCCGCGACGTTCTGGCCTCCGGAAGTTGCGTTATTTGATGCCGCGCCGGTGCTCGCGTCGTCGTCCGTGCTTTCCACCTTGTCGCCGCTGGCAGTTTCATCGGAGCTCTTCTCAGCGACATTCCCGTCTTCTTTCACGGGCAGTGCGCCGTCCATACTGCCATTCATGTCGTCGAAGCTCCTCTGGTTCTTGGCCGTGCCGTCGTCGCCGCCAACGGTCTCCTTCGACTCTGTCGGTGTCTCCTTGGTGCTGTTGTTAGCCTGGCCGCCGGCGTTGTTATCGTCAGTGGTGGATGCCTCCTCCTGGACAGTGTTGTCAGCCTGAACGCCGGTGCTCTTGTCGTCAGTGGACGCCTCCTCTTCGCTCTTGTCAACCTGGCCGCCAGTTTCGTTCGTGCTCTTGTCGGTGTTCTTCTCGTCTTGATCCCGTCCGCTTGTGGTGGTGGTGGTGGTGTTGCTGCCATCGATGGCCGTCTGCTCGGCGCTCTGCTCGACTTTTTTGTCGGGGTCCTCCGGCTTCGCCACCTCGCCGCCCTCCGTCTTGCCGTTCTCGTCGGAGAAAGTCTGGTTCTTGGACGGTGTGTCGCCCTCGGCAACGATGCCGCCGGCAGGCTCGCCGGAGTCCTCCGCGTCCGTGCCTCTGGAGGTGCTGTTGGCTGTCGCGTCCGTTCTCCCCGCGACGTCGCTCTGGTTGACGTCGTTGCCGACAGTAGTGACAGGTTCTGTCGTCTGCGCGGCGCCAGCGCCGTCGTCCTTGTTGTTGCCGGTGCCCCCATCAGTGTCATCCTTCGTCTGCGAAGCGTCGCCACCGCTGCCATCATCTTTGTTGCCGGTGTCTCCGGCGTCCTCCTTCGTCTGCGACGCGTCGCCACCGCTGCCATCATCTTTCTTGCTGATGTCCCCATTCTCCTCCGTCGACTGCGTGCCGCCGCCTCCTTCACCAACGCTGCCATCATCTTTCTTGCCGGTGTCCCCACTCTCCTCGGTCGCCTGCGTGCCGCCGCCGCCGCCAGCGCCGACCCCTTCGCCACCGGCGACGTCATCTTTCCTGCCAGTGTCCGCCACCTCGTCGCTCTCCTGCGCGACGTCGACGGACCCGTCCTGGTCCTTAGCGCCCGAGCTGTTCTCGGGCGACACGGTGACCGCGATGTTGTTGGACGACGCCATCATCCACGCGGCGACGAGGCACAGCGCCACGAAGACGACGATGGTCGCCGACGAGCAGAACGACGACGACGGCGGCGGCCTCCGGGCGGCCCCGGCGCCGGCGCCCCCGCCGTCAAGCCTCTGGTAGCGATCCCGTTCGAACAACGGCATCTCTGGATTTCCCTTTCTGCTAGCTCATGCAGTGCGGGCTCACACTCTCTGCAGAGGAATTCATGCAACAAGGATGGCGAAATGTCAGAAATTCAGAAATTGTGATGTCCAGAACGAACAAAAATAGGAAAGAAAGAAATCTCTGAGTCAGATCTCCGATATCTAGCTGCGTGCAGTGCACAATGTGTAATAATCTGAACAAGTGATGAACACACACATGCAGTTTGCAGAGTGATTCAAAATTCGAAATTAAAACGCGAAATCTGAGCACTGCAACGTCAATGAAACCTGAAATAAAATTGGGCCAGCAAGCAAGGATCAAGAAACATCACCAGGTCGAGAAACAGCGGCTCCGAGAAATGACGGCGAAACGCTGAGATGAAGAAGATGGCCTCTCGATCTAATTTGCAGCACCAAACATATGCTATGCCGCTGCCCCAACAGAGCGATGGTGGGACGGATCGGAGGTTCTTCAATTCCTCGGAGAAGTGGGGAAGGTGGTGAGCATGCAGTGCAGCAACCTCAAATCTACCCTCTTTCTATTTCCCAGCGACACGCAACCGGCCATGCAGGCGCCGATCTGAAGTTTCTTTTATTGGCGATCGAGCTTGGGTGGAGGGGAGGGGATGCGAGGTAGCGGCAAGTGAGGAGAAATGGGGGCGACCACGAGCGTCAGTCCCCGGTTTTATGGCGCCACCTCGCCATGCGTCCAAACGCAAGAGGGGTAGGATTTGCATATGTACTTTGATTTTGCCAAATCGTGATGTTCACAAAAATATGGTCAGATATGGCCTCTTTATTTGCATTGCAGTTTGGCAAGAATATGGAATTTGTTGCTCGCTGCATTTTTTTTTAAACGAGCTCGCTGCGGTCCTAAATATAAATCACTAAGACATGGATGTATTCTATGGTTCAACATTCTTTTTTCCCCGAATTACACACAACACAAATAGACATGTACTACCCTATGAAAGCACATATGTAAATCCTACCCCTATGACATATTTGAAAGACTAAAGCATGTTTAGAAGTTGACGAAATCAATATAGGTGTCTTGCTATTGACGAATATGTTATCTACCATTTAAAAATAGCACCATTAATTCGTGGACTCCCACGAACATGAGCACACAATCTAACCTGGCTACCCTTAGAAGGGTCTCGGAAAGATTGAGCCGACACACCTCGAAGTTGATGGCGTCAATATAAGCGCCTCACTATCGATAGTCGCATTATCTACCACTTAAAGAATAACACAGTTAGATTTTAGAATAAATTCATGAAAATTCAAGCATTCATGCTAAGTCAAGGACTTAAACCTGAGTGTACATGTTCCACCATAAGAAACCTAACCAACTAAACTATCTATAGGATATATTATTTGAATCGAAATCGCATATATTGTTTTTTTATTGAAGACAACTATTTTAATTGCTTTCTTTGTTGTTGTTACCGTTGTTGCTTATATCCTTTTAGGGTTTGTTGCTTGACTCTTCTATCTGATTCTTATAAAAATATAAAGAGTGCATATCATGTAAATAGTACTCTCTTTTAAATTGTAAGTTGTTTTGTTTTTTCTAGATATATAGTAAAAACTATGTATTTATACATAGTGTGTATCTAGATACATAATAAAAGTTATATATTTAGAAAAGATAGAACGACTTGCAATTCAGACAGGAAATGGTGTATGATTTCCGTTTAGCCACTGATGATCATAGTTACAAAAGAGCAATTTATTAGGAGAAAATTGAATAGACTTTTAGTACCATTAGAAGTAGCGTTTTGTACTTCTTCATGTTTACCATGTCACGATTTGGCCAAACTCGAGTTATTTTACTTTTTTTTTAAAGTAGGATACTTCGGAGGACAATTTCGGCTCCAAATTAAGCAAGGGGTTATAGAACCGAAAAGATTGTGATATTTAGATTTATTCTAAATTATAAGTTGTTTTAGTTTTTGTAGATAGTATACATTGTTTTTCTATATGTCTAAACATATGCTATCTCTCTATATAAAATAAAGATATGTATCTAGAAAAGTCAAAACGACTTATAATTTGGAACGAAGGGAGTAGCTTTTATGAGCTACTATCTACCTCCAATAATTTACTTTAAATGGCTAAGTTGATGAACAAGATTTTGCAGTTCACCAATGCTTGAACGCAGTGGCGAAACTAGAGCGGAATTGAGAGGGTGTGACTATAAAAGAAGTGATAAAGAAATTTAATAAAATGCGTAACATTACTATGTCCAAAAAGCGTTGATATAGACAATATATCATTCCTATGGCAAGGCCTAATAATCCAATGAGAAAATTTAGGATTCTATCACTCATAATAAAAAAGAGTCTGTCTACTGAACAAACGGTTGTTTTGTTGTCATTCAATAACCGGTTGTTTCAAAGGGAAGAAACAACAAAAAAATAAGACAATAAAAGGTTGTTTTGTTGTCTTTCAGTAACCGGTTATTCCAAAGCCAAATAACAACCACATTTCAGGCTTGCTGCCAAACGGGTGTTTCAACGGCAAAAAAAACATCCAAAAAGTGAACAAGCAGAAAATATAAATGTAAGAAAACAAAAAAGGGTTGAACAAGGAAGAATACTTACAACTATTTGAAACTTAATATAATGTAAACCAAAACACCAAAACTAACAAACTGAAAAGAAACCTGCCAATGAAATTAAAAAGCACAGTTTAGTGTAAAAAACACAGCAAAAAAGAAAAAATTTAAATACACTAACAAAAAAAGGTAAATAATTCAACTGACTCCATATCAATCATTGATGGCATGGGCAAAAACCATTAAAAAAACATATAGAACTAATATTTATTACAAACATAGTTCCAGATATAAAACTTGTTCAATTAATACAAACATAACTAGAGAATTCCACAAATAAACCCACAGACTTCAAAGCATTTCTTCAAAAAGAAGAAGCCATACTACTCAAGAAAAGTTAAAAGGGAAAATCCAATGGCATCTAGCACTCTGGTAAGAGTCTTCTTCTACTGGACGAACACTGATACTCAAAACGCGATAGAACGACATCCTTTCGCCTGCAACCTTAAATGATCTCCCGGCCATCAGATTTGCATCCTCTTCTCCAGTCACCTTGATATACACAGTGCTATTATTCGAATCGTAGGCAAACTTACACATAGAAAGATAATGACCACCACGATTCTGCTTCAACACACGAGCAACTAATTTCAACATATTATCACAGGTCAACCCTTTAGCAGCAATAAGCTAAGATTGATCTCCAACAACTAAATCAAGATTGTCCAAAACAAACAAAGACACTACTTCAACTTCTAAAGTAAATGGTACTACAGCTTCAGGAGCAACTGAATTGTTTTGAGAAACAACCTAAGAAAAATTAAAAAAAAAAAGCATAAACAAAAAAATGATTAAACAAAAAACAATCAAACATATACAAAAATAAAAAAAAAACCCTTTGAAAATTAAGAGAAAAAAGGTACCTTGATCCTTATTGGAATATCCACAAAAGCTCTAGAAGAGCCAGTCCTTTGCACAATACTTTTAACTGGATATACACTAACAACAATATCACCAACTGATATCCTCCACTTGCGAAGTTGAATGGGAAGACGATCCAAATGAGCTAGAACAAAAACAATACCATCATGATCATCAACGCATAATTTTCTGTCATTCACCATCGTCCACATTGTTACCGGCTTACGCTCAATATATTTCATTGCACAAGCAACGATGGACACAGGATCAGCGGTGGGACTACTCAACCAAACTGCCATCAAACGAGACTGCTCACCAACAGTCAACCCAAGGACCTCCATGACATAATCAGAAACAACCCTGTTCTCAAAGATACCTGTTGCCATCTAAAAAATGAAATTAAATATGGCTGAACTTGAACGTATAACCTCAACATGACTAAAACTGATACAATTGCCAACTGAATAACTGAACAACAAAATGAAAAAAGGAAACTGTAAGCGCAACCACCACTACTACATGGACCTGACCTAATAAACCTAATCATAGCTGAAAAATATGGCCCATCGAGCCAAACAGAGAAGAAACCTCCTAGTCGGCTACTACTAGTCCTCGCCATGGACATGGACCACCCTAGAGCTAGAGCTACAGGCCTAGAGCTCGCTAGGTTATCCAAAAAGAGAGGCAAAACAAAAGCGAGGCCTGGCCTGGAGGATCAATCTGACAACAGGGACACTTACATAATAACATCTCCAAAGCCACCATTTTTTGGCTAATTTACAACGTATAACCTGAACAATAATAAAAATGAAAACTGCAAATCCATAAAGCTGAAAACTAAACATAAAAGAAATGCTGAAAATGAAACTGACAACTGAACAAATTGAAACTGAACAAAAATGACTGAAAACTAAAATGAAAATAACAACTCAACAAACTAAATCTAAACAAAAAAGACTGAAAATACATATGTAGATGCAGTCGCTAGGTTTCATCAGCTACATGCAATACATATGTAGATGGATACATATATAGAAAACAAAACAATTCCATGAGCGCAACCATCAAATCACACAAGACAAGTCAGGTGCGGATGATGCGCCTCTTATTACAAGCATCTGGTCTGATCCCTCTCAAACAGGTAGGGATGAAAACGGTCGGGAAAATGTCTTAACCATTCCTGCTCCTGTATTTTTTGGCCGGGAACGGGAAGGCCAGACGGGAAAATGAATCCGGTATTATGGGATATCGGGAACGGAATATTTCGAACGGGAACGCGTCGATTACGATCGGGAAGCGGTAACACAAAACGGAAACATCGATATATGTAACCACTGGAAACAGTGAGCTCGATGCAACAATAGCAACCATGCATAATCCATATGCAAACAATAGCAAACAGTGAGCTTGTCATAATATTTATGCAAAGAAAACTACGGAACTACCAAAAAAAGAAAATGGAAAAGAAAAATGAACAAAGGGCCAAACCTTGCTGCTTCTGTGCTCCATGCGTGAATTCCTGGGCCAAGCATGGAATGATGGGCCGCATGCTCCTTGCCTCCTCTCTTCCTGGGCCAAACCTCGCTTCCTGGGCCAAACCTTGCTGCTCCATGGGAAAAACGGGAATTTCCCACGGGAGGTTTCCCGGACAAATACGGGATCCGCTAATTCGGTCGGGAAATCACTCTAACCGATTTTGATACCGGATTCACCGAATTTTCCCGGATTTCTTCCCGAATCTGTTTTTTCCCGAGAAAATGATATCCGGTCGGGAATTCCGGTATTCGGTGTCGGTCAGTACCGGAATTTCCCGTTCCCGCTTTCATCCCTACAAACAGGCTGGGCTAAGGTGTGAGATTGATGACAGCCAGACACACACACAGACACACGGAAATATAGCTAATTTAGTGCGGCCACGTGCATGCACAAGACAACTAATTTAGTGCAAGGCTCTGGGATTTAGTGCGGCCTCAACTAATGAAATCTAAGCAAAATGATTTCAACCGAAGATATCAGCCATAGCGCCATCCTAGTTACAAAAGGAGACCTGAATTTTCAAGAGCTCTAAAAATTATTTAATGCATGCAACATGCAAAACTGAAACCCCCAAAACTTGGTGACTCAAACTGTTTCTTAACTGTGTCAGTTTAAGGAGTCAATTAAACATTAACTGAATATAAAAATTAACAATGTCAAACTCAACATATCTGCTTAATACTGAAATTGCTGCTGAACAAATATACTGCAACTTACTACTTGAATACTTGAACCACAATGGGTTCAGAAAAAGACCTTTCAAAAAGCAGGCCTAGGGGATCAATCTGACAACAGGGACACTTACATAATAACATCTCCGAAGCCACCATTTTTTTTTTTTGCTAATTTAAAACCTATAACCTGAACAAGACTAAAACTGAAAAATGCAAATACAAAAAACTAAAAACTAAACATAAAAGAATGACTGAAAATGAAACTGACAACTGAACAAACTAAAACTAAACAAAAATAAACTCAAAAAACTGAAACTAAACAAAAATGGCTGAAAACTAATCATAAAAGAATGACTGAAAGACAACTGAACAAAATGAAAATGAACAAAAATGCACACACACGCTTACTGAAACATAACAGTCTTCAGGAAACAAAACAATAAAAATAAAAAAACTGCATGCCATCTGCAGTTTTCATATCTCAACACATGCAAACAATGATAGAACGTTACATTAAACACAAAAAAACAAAAAAACATATAATAACTAAAATCAGGAACATGAATAAGGGACATGAATCTAGATCTGAATCAAAGACATACCTTCCTTCCAAACCCTGTAGATGATATCCAAGAGAGACGTATGCAGATCATCTTCTCACCATTCCAACACTCTCCACCTAGAGCTAGTTGTTGCAGTAATCCATCATGTGAATCGTCATGAAACAGTTCCTCATCCCACACCACCTGGCTGATGACAAGCTCGACACTTGGTGTGTTCTCGTCACCACTCATGTGCTCTCGAGAATGAGCTAATTGCTGCAGTAACCCACTGTATGTGTTGATCTGAGATAACATGTCATCATCCCATATGACTTATGTTGGATGCGTTGCAGCAAGTTCTTCAGAGGAAGCAACACGAGGCATCCCCGATGACATTAGCAGATGTTCTGAGTGTGATGCTTCCACTTCCTTGAGAGGTATTTTCTCAAAACATTTGATCTGTAACCATTACTCCAAGCTCTGGATGTGCTGATGAGTAATCAACATCAGTGAGACTGGTGTTACTGACCTGCGCAGCAACCAAATTGATCTCTTCACACCGTATCAACGTTGACATGGTATGTGCTACAGACAACTCTTGATTAATCCATGCTGTGTCGTCGTCCAAAGAGGCATATCATCGAACATTTTGCAGGCAACTGCCTCTGGCATCACCACAGCAACAGAAATGTCACGAGCAGGACAAAACCTAGTCTGTATCCTTGGATTGGATAGTGGACCAATGTGCTGAACTGAAGGCTTCGGAGGTGTCGTGATGCTCACACCGCAAATCCAACCAATGGGGAGAAGGAATTACATGAAATCGGAGTCCCAGTGTGGAATCGACCCAATCTCGACCAACCTAATCCATTTATCGGCTGAGATCGACGGAATAGCTGCAAGCACACGTACCTGACGAAATCGAAGAAGAGAAATAGGTCTACCGCCACCAAACGCCGCCAATATACACCACCGCCGTGCACCCCCAAAAGCAGACGAAAAACTTGGGTAGAAGGGAACCCGCCGACTGGAGAAGTCGTCGCGTCTCCGGCAGCCAACCCGAGCTGGATCGATGGAGCCGCTGCACCGAATCAGGGAGATTCGCCGCCGCCGCACCAGTTCGCGCCGCCACTGGTCCGGATGAAGAAGGGCCGATAACTAGCGTCGGAGCAGGAGCAGACGCTACCCACTACCCCACGCCGAGTGAGGCCGACATGTCACAGAAACATACACACCCGCATGCCACAAAACAGATCAGACGCTTCACAACATCACACGGCGCAGATCGAACGGACGAAAAAACGGTTACTTAATGACATCGAAACAACCGGGCAACCTATAGCATTTCTGTAAAAAAATGAGAGATAATAAATACTCCCTCCATAGGAAAAAAAATGACGTCCTGGCTCCTCCCTGGATTGCGATTAAAACGTCGTTTTAGCCATGCAGCCGCTAAACTGGACTTCTTTGCCCCTGCATCATCGATCTATGCGCGCATGCAGTTACTCCGCGCCGCGCGTGGGTCGCTCGCCTCGATTCTCATGCGCCGCACAGCTCTCCCTCTCGTATGCTCATCCGCGTTCGGTATCTTAAAGCCGCTCGCTCGCATCGCAGCTCGCCGCACCGCTCGCGCTCGCCTACCTGCTCGCCGGTCCGTTCGCCATGCCTCACCGCTCGCCGGTCCTCGCGCGCATGGCTTCATCGCATTCCAGGGATGTGGCGCCGGCGGACTCGATGTCGGAGGAGTTGGCACCATGGAGATGACTCCGGAGTCCTTCGTGCCGGACTCGTAGATGGCGCCAGACCCCGTCATGTCGGAGTTGCAGGAGCTCACGCGCGGACTCGGAGATGGTGCCGGATTCCTTGCCGCCGGGCTCTTTTGTATGCGCTCGCTGTCATCTCGTCCACGAGGACCGCCAAGCATGGAACCATGCGCATTTGCGGTTCTGGCCATGCTCTCGCTGTGGTCTCGTCCACGCGGATTACATAATCGACGCCATGGTCGGCCTCGTCAAGTTGGACTGCGAGCTTTTCATCTAGCATTACAAGGACTTGCTGCCGATAAAGGATGATGCCAAAGCATCGGTAAGCATTACTAAGATTGTAGTTCTTGTTCTTACAACAAAGTCTAGGGATGTAGTTCTTGTTCTTACAAGTCCGATAGGGTTCATCTTCGTCGGGTAGCAAATAATATTTTTCAGATTTTTGATAAAGGTAGAACCATTTTTCATCAATGAACACAAAGTCATACAAATCCTTAAACCTTGGATCAGCAAGTAAATCCCTCTTAATTATGTCAACACACCACTTTAATCTAGACCTCTTGTTAGCTTGCGTGAGATATGGTTTGATGCTACTAGAGTGGCGCCTAAGCAAACCTTTTTTCAAATACCTTTTGAATATTCTTTTTGCTCATGTTAAGTTTAGCACACACATCTTCGATGGTCATTCTTTCCTTGAGAGGAATGCTACGCAATAGTTCCAAATCAACAGGAGATGTCTTATGACCAACTCTACCCCTCTTACGACTACCAAGGTCAACCGGAATGTTATTTGCAAGTGCTATTTTACCTTGCTTCCACAGGCGCTGAACTGCACCAATGTGTACACCAAACTGAGCAACAACAACTGTTGTATCTTTCTTGCCTAGCTTCCCATTGTTGCTTTTTGCCAACAAAGATTGATAAACTTGCTTTCTGACTTCTTCGGGCATGTCTTTCCTTCGTTGGTTAGCTTGAACGGGAGCATCAAAAGCAGGATCTAAAAAACGAAAAAACAAGCACATTAAAAATAATAGCCATTCCTTAATAAAAAAAATCAGATTGTATCAAACAATTACGTACCTGTCAGGTTTTCTACAAAATCGAAATCTACGGCACCATATTGATCTAGTGGCAAGTTCAAATCAAATCTTGTTAAAAAAACAATGATATAAGAAACGATTGAGAGAAAACGATAGCAAAGTGCATGCACAAGATAGGAAGAAGTGCATACCGTTGCCGTCGCCGTCGTCATATACAGGCTCGTTGAGATCAAACATAGAAAATGAATCGGCCATATGTAGCTAGAGGAGATGGCTCGGTACCATGAACAAGAGAAAAAGTGGCGTGGAGAATAGAGAAAGCAAGTTGGCGCATAAATACAGTAGGCAAGCAGGTAAGCCAAACGTCGGTCTTCTTATTCCAAATGAGCACCACCCACCAGCCATCCGAGCCCGCAGGCAAAAAAACACGCCATGCTACGAGCGCCAGGCCAAAAAAAATTGAAAAACGAGCAGGCACAAACGTGCCATGCAGCCTCCTATGCGCTCCATGGCAAAAATGCACCTATCGCCATGCAAAATGAAGCATGCAGCAAAAAAACTGTGACCACCAAGAATCGAACTCGGCCAGCCTCACGCCTCAATGCGCTAACCGGATGATCTAGGAAAAATTCTCGTATAGAATGCATCCGAAGCAGTATTTAATAGGGTCAAACAGGAAAAAATCTATCTTAATTAATCATTTCTTGATATGCTAAATGCTGTCCTAAACGTCATTTTTTCCTATATAGAGGGAGTATATAATAAGAAGCATCTATTTATTTACCATGTACCCGTGGCTTACTGGCTTCTCAATAAAATCTCTCACAATGGACGGATAGAGGCATGAAGCTGCTACATATATGCTGTGTGGCGCAGTGCGGGAGTGTACGGAGTGGATAGTCGCGGCCGACCCTCCACGGCAACGAAGTGGCGGAGACGGACGCCGAGACGCCGGACGCGGCCTCCGAAGCTGCGCCGCTGTTGCTATTGCTTTGTGCGACGGCAGCGATCAACGAGCCGTGAGCGTCTGTGTGTCGTCGCGTCGAGCGGAGTGGAGTCCATGTCCATTTGAATCGTCGTTCAGAAGTCGGAAAGGTGTCAGGGAACGGCTGCGTAGGCGGAGTTCGGGGCGTCGGTCCAACTCTTTGTGTGTCCACGAAAAATGAAATTCTCGTTTTCCAAAAAATCAATTAGTTTGAACTTTGACTAAAATTATATAAAAAATACACTAACATTCATGATGCAAAATTAGTATCATTAGATTAGTCATAGAATATATTTTCATAATAAATTTATTTAGAGACATAAATATTAATATTATTTGCATTTATAAACGGAGAGTCAATCGCTTTACCTTACCTGTAAAAGAATGTAATTATATGAATTGCATTCTTTTTCAAGTTTGACCAAGTTTATAGCAAATATTATTAGCATTTATGTCTCTAAATAAACTTATTATAAAAATATATTCTATAACTAATCTAATGATACTTATTTAGTATCATAAATGTTTATATTTTTTATATAAATTTAGTTAAAGTTTAAATTGATTGACTTCTTAGAAAATAAGAATTGTATTTTTTTTTGGACGCAGTACGTAGGAATTGGGATGGAAATCATGGAGTCCTGTCCTCCTAGGGCTTCCTAACGGACTCAAAAGACCTGAGTTATGGGTTGTCAAACGTGCTGCTGGCTGGACTTTAGCCTTTGGGGGCGTGCAGCACTTTACTGCTAGGGGGGGGGGTGCATATAGGGTCAAGATGGGCTAGTAATAACTAAAAAAAAAATTGGAGGGTGGTGCATGAACGCTCATTCTTACATGTAATCATGTTGTCCTGTAACCGTAAGTGGAAGAGAAGTGAACAATAATTTTTGTTCGAACAGCATTGTATTGTATTTAGTTTCTACGCAGTAGCCATTAGCCAATTAACCCAAAATTTTAACCTGACTGGAAACGTACGGCAGAAATACAGTTTTATTACGTCAGCCACATCTTATATTTTAAGCCCATTCCTGAAGAGAGAACGAGAAACTATGATAGCTTGTTTAGCACGAGAAATCTGATGAGAAATGGCAGAAATTCATAGTTGACACTTGACACGTGCAGGGGAAGCAGGTTGACTAACTTTTTCGTGCGTGCACTTTTTCATGGACACCCCTCCTGTCAACTTTGCGTGCGTGCGTGCGTGGAGGCGATTCACTGTGCTTTCTTTTAAGAGCAGATGCACTTGTTAGCCTCGGTATAAAGTTACTCCAGCTAGATCAAAATGAGTTGAGGCCAATAGCCTCTCAACGCAAGCAACAGCTTGTCCTTTGCCACGGTCCTGCTGCTGTGCTCAGCTTTTGTCAAAGCTCTTCAGTGCGTGTTTAATTACACCCCAACTTTTAAAAAGTTGCTACAGTACCTGTCGCATCGAATGTTTGCGGCCCATGCATGGAGCATTAAATATAGACGAAAAGATAAACTAATTACACAGTTTGGTGGGAAATTACGAGACGAACGTTTTGAGCCTAATTAGTCCATATTTGAACATTATTTGCCAAATAAAAACGAACGTGCTACAGTAGCCCCAAAATCCAAATTCCTACAGGTAAACAAGGGCTCAGCTTTTACATGCCTTTTTATACCACAACGCAGGAACATATGGCTGCTTCAAACCTTTTGCCAATGCAAGCTAACGCTTCCTCTGCAAGAGAACATGACAACCTGCGAGGCTAATGTTCTTGATGATCTGGACAATGGATGCATAGGTGGAAGTTGAGGCAGTACTCCACGGTGGAGCGTTGGGCATGACCTCAGTGGCTGACTGGCACGGACACTTGGTGGTTATAGAGATCTAGAGCGTAAACATGCATGCAGCGATCATCACGGAACTAGTGATCAAGTTGAGTAAAATCCACAAAACTGTAATTAATTTGATGATATCATTCAGAGTACTCCCTCGCTATGTCCCTTTGCGATCATACAAAGGAACGAATGAATGATTTGTCGGAATATTTTCATGAAAGGTAGTACTTAAAAGTTTCTAATATTAAACACTATGTAAATATCCCTTATGTCAGTTTTAATAGATGCAATATTTCTGATGCATCATGTGTTACCGTAGGAAAGGTCCACTGTTGTTTGGATGCTTGCATGGATTTTAATTCAGGAGTCTATATAGAGCTTGTTTGGATGAGTGACTAGCGCTGCATGGCTGGCAAGTTGTCTGTTAGATCATGATCCAAACAAGCCCATGTTCTATGGATGAGGAGAAGCATGTCAAGGAAAAAAAAAGTGTCGTATTTTTTAAATAGGTTGAGATGAGTTGCTGATTTGAATTTAGTAGGCTGCAACTATGGATGCAAGCAGAGATGAGTTTCTAATCTGAATCTCTACTACACTTAGACATGATAAACTCTCGAGCCAACCTCTACTGGGAAAACATCAAGCCGCTTGAGAGTTGAGACAGGGAAGGGAGTCTGCGATTGGGCACAAGGAGTGGAAACGATACGTGTGGAGAATCGAGACCTCGAGGGCTCCATTTTGGGCTTTTTACCTGTGTGCTATTATAAAAGATCCAAATGACCTACGTATCTTTAAAATTTTGAAAAGTTTCTCAGTACCTTTGTCTAAAGTTTCTTTTACCTGTGTACCACTTCCGTCTATTTTGCCTCTAACAGTAGCTAACGGATAGCGGAAAAGACGCTTTTGCCCTCAGTTATAGAATGCATCAAAATTTTCATTCTTTCCTCATATGCCACCGTAACACTTCCTGTGATCCCAAAAACTACGCATTTTTCTCTATACCATTATGAAAAATTCACGGTAACAGCTTGTGTGTGCACATGGTAAACTTTAATAATTATAATAAATTTAAAATGCATCCAAAATACTTGATAATTGCGACAACCACAATAAATATTTAAACTAAGTACATTCAGGCATAATAGAGGTCCAAATTTATCATGACGTGCATAGTCAGCTTGATTACTAAATCAAGTTTGCACACAAAAGATGGTCACATTGACCTCATTGCTAGTTTAAACATTGTCTGGTCACTACAAAAGCATGTCACAGAGATGCAAACTCATTACATATCGTTTTTTCTTGCTTCTCGTTCCCATGGCCGGACTAGAAGGGGAACTAGGGGCCTTGTTGCGGGTTGACATGGCTGGACTACCCTTGTTTGGAGTCAATTTTTTTGACATGGCCCTCTTCTTCTTGTGCTGGTGCTGACTTGCACTCTTGTCAGTTGTGTGCTGCTCACTTGATCCTGAAGGGTGTAGCTGATTTGATCCTGTTCCAGATCCTCTGAAAAAAGAGACATGAGTACAAAACAGGTGGCTTATCAATTAAAGTGGTGAAAAGACAATTATAGGAAATTAGCTTACCTCACGGAGGGGTCACTAGCCTCAGTAGTTGAAGTATTGGAAGTACTCTTTTGTTTCTTCGCACGAGTTGATGAGGATGATTTGTTTTTCCTTTTCTTTGATAGATCCACAACAGTAGGTAGAACTGGAAAGGCCATCCTTTGTTGTGCTGCAGGCACAATGCTAGTCTCAGTAGTAGCTAGTTCTATCTTCTTTTTCTTCTTTTTAGGTGGACCTATGCATGGACAGATAGGTTAGCAACAATGTAAACATCTAGTAATTATAGTCTCAAATACATAAATGATAACAGACAATGGATATAGCCTCAGAGTATACTGGGCAAGCAAACATTCAAAATAACAACAAAGTCTCACTATGAAATAACAGACTGAATTGGGGACAATGTACTTGAACTGCAACTTAGAAGACAAAGGCATTGCCATTTGCACGAGCACAAGTAGAAGCAAGACTTGCTGCGAACAGAAATGGAACAGGAACATGGTCTTCTACCACTAAAGGAAATAATTGCAGAATAAATTGGCACTTCTACGTTACCTTTCAGCAAGCATTGTTGCTATGTCTGCTGGGTCACCATCCTTACAAGTGTACCAATGATATCCATATTGCTGACAGATCGGACATTGATGCCTACCCTTGCCTCCTTTGCTACCACCCTCTGCTACGCTCTTGTATCTATTTTGCCTTCTCCTACCAGCCGTTGACTTCAACAATGGACGATGCAGGAAGAAACCAAGTTCTTTTTTAGGCCACATGGATTTGTCTGGTATAGAAGGGATTGTACCATCATATGCAGCCCTGAAGCTCTGTACAGAGTAGTAGTTGTCCACATGATCTTCTATCTTCTCTCTAGGTATAGAGGTGATGTAGGCAATTGCATGCTTACATGGTAATCCAGAAATGTCCCATGCTCTACAAGAGCATGTTTTTTCCTTTAAGTTCACAACAAACCTGTAAGTAGAACCTCCCCTTGCCATAACCTCTACAATGCCATCAAGTGAGCTAGTCACAACATCAATGTCCATAGCAAGTGCCTTTCCATCATACACTTTCTTGTAGCTGATATTGATCTTCCAATCATCCTTCAATCTTCTCCTAAGTTCTTTAGGGCGAACAGTGAGGTCCTCAACTAACCAATCCTTTATCTTCTCACAAATCTAAAACTTGGTAGCATGTTTGACTTTCCCAATCCTCCTACTACTTTGACATTTATGATCACAAGGGTTCACCTTGACCTACAAAGTTTAGTTTCAATTAGACTAGAATAATTTCAGAAGTGTGAACACAGTACTGAAATAAATTCAGAAATATGAACAAACTACTAAAATAAATAAAAGAGAAATTACCTGTACAGTAACTTTATCACTCATTGTCGATGCATGAAGCCTCCAGTTACAACCATCTTCCACTCCCGCGCAGTATGCCCGATACCTCCCTGGTTCACTCTTTTCAATGTTATACTCAAATTCTTTCTTGATAGCATGTGTTGCAAGAGCCAACTTAAATTCAGACATGTTTGGATAGATGCTCCCTACTTCCATAGGAGGGTCATCTTTGTTGTATGCAACTTGAGGCATGTCAGATGGCAATCTATCATTAACAATCTCATCTACCTCATCATCCATATTGGAGTCAGACATAGAATCAGATTCAGAGTTTGAACCTGAATCATAATCTTCATCCTTTTTGTCAGTTGTGTCAACATTTGCATGAGAAGCAGGTACTATGTCAAGGTATAAACCCTCCTCATCACCCCCACATGTTCATTCTCTGGTTCAGGATTCTTAAGATAACTATCCTCAGCATCTACCATGTCATCATCTGGTTCTGTAGCAGTCCCAGTTTGAGTTGCTTTGCTAGGTTCTACATAGCTAGGGACTGGCATTGATGGAGTGCATGGGATGTCAACATTGTCCCATAGTGGGATTTCTGGTGGATCAACATCAGGTTTATGATATGCAATTGACATGCAACACACTTGGGGCTCATATGTTTCGCGAACATATGCATTAACTCTTGGTCTGAATGAATTTGTATGTTGGACTTGCTATCAACACAGAAAATAGAACAGCTTCACTACATCACCATACCCGCAAGGAAACTGATCCAGAATTTCATCAACAAGGTCTTTAAAATTTGTGGTGTCTGAATCAACAACTTTATTAATGCCATACCATGGTCCTCGCATAGTTGGACTAATTATCCTGATTTCTAGATTGAAACTGGTCTCGATGTCATTCCTACACATGAACAAATACTATTTACTAACATCTATGCAGTTCAATTCAGTCCAAACAACACCCAAACATGGAACTAATGTATGCATTTGAGGAAGAAAAGGGACACTCACCCATCTGGAAGCCAAGCTGATCGTCCGTCCACCATCTTTTATGAATCCACAACAATTCCTCCCTCCTCTGCTCCTTTGGTCCTCAAGATGCGCCTCCACTGGTCCTCTGCTCCTCAGGGCCCGTGAGCTCGCCTGCCTGTGCACCTGAAGCAACATGCAGTGGTTGCCACATAGTACCTTGAGTTGCTAATACAAGTCTATCAGGCAGTGGTTGCGATACATATGGTACACTAGAACATCACATCCAACAATCTTATGAGGTAGATCAGCGTACAGCTAGCAAGAAGAAACTTGAAATAAGTACATGCACACATTATTCTACTTTAGCTCACTCCAAATCTGCAGATCGCTACGGCAATTCAACTACCCAGATTTTCAGATAATGAAATATTCCAACCTCCACATCACGGATACATACATCCATAATTCAACTGCACAGGTGCAGATCGAAAGGCCCAAAACCAAAATTATGTCGTTTCCGTGTACCAGGCCGAAAAAACATGAACTTACGCCTTGTGGAAAAAAATTGTGTGAAACTTGTATCCCTGCATACATGGTTTTCTTACCTGACTGACAGCACGGCCGGGCTAGGCTGGAAGCACAGCTGGCCCAAATTAAAAGATGTCTCCAGCGGGCGCTGCTACGGTCCGGGTGTTCGGACCGTATAATCGTGCCGGCCAGCAAATTATTATTTTCGCATGCGCGGGACGGAAGCCAGCAGCAATCTCTCATTCCTAAGCATTGGGCGTGTGAGAAAGGGGAGGCTTCACCTTCTTCGCGACGGGCGGCATCGAACCGGCGGGGCTAGCGACGAGGACGAGGCCAAGGATTGTGACGATGGCGAGCGCCACCAAGTGCTTCCACTGGTCCTCTGCTCCTCAGGGCCCGTGAGCCCGCCTGCCTGGGCACCGTGCTCGCGCCCTGGGGCCGCGAGTGCCCCCGCTCGCGCCCGCCTGTCTCCGCTCTGCCGCTACGCCATCTCGCCCGCCCGCGCGAAGCCCTGCAGAAGCGTGACTCGCTTCCCCGCGCGCAAGCCCGCGCCCGCGCGGATCCTCCCCGCACGCGCGAACCACATGCAGTGGCCGCGCCTCACCCGCTCCCTCCCTCCCCGCCGACCTGAGTGGCTAGCCTGCTTAGGGTTTGGATAGGAGTGGGGAATGAATCAGAGAGTCCAACGAGAAGCCCATGGACGATGGGGAATTGATCGGACACCGTAATGGGCAAATGAGTCATTCCGTGTCTAGTTGCCCGCCAGCTCTGTTAAAAACAAACGGTAAGGTGACGAGAGTGGCATTCAGGCGAAAGAAACTTTAGACAAGGGTGGCGAGGAACTTTTAAAAAATTCGATACATATATTATTTGAATCTTTTTATAACGACACACGAGTAAAAAGCCCCTCCATTTTCTCTCTCTTTCTTCCCGCTAACAAATGCAGCAAAATTTGCTATTGGTCCACCGTTCCATTCCCCCAACCGCGCCTCCTCTAAACCCCTCCTCTCGCCCGCCGCCGGCGCGCCGACATGGCCGTCCACCACCTCCTCCGGCGCGGGGTCTCCAGCGGCTCACAGATCCACCCTCTCCGCGGCCTCTTCCACGCCTCCCAGGTACCTGCGGCTCCTCCCCTCGCCCTCACCCACTGCCCTCGCCGTCACACCGGTCCTTGATTTCGTGCGTGCTTCTTTCCCGGCGGCGCAGGAGCTTGGACGGCACCAGTTGAGCTCCGCGGCGGCGGGGGACGCAGCGGCCGAGCTGAGGGGCGCGCGGGAGGACGTCAGGCAGCTGCTCAAGGCCACCTCCTGCCATCCCATCCTGGTACGGTAGTTCTTTCTCCTCGTGCCGAGGCTCCCTGCGGATGGAGCAGACAAGTGATTGTACTGTGGGATCTTGTTTATTCATCTAGCCACCCAGAGATTCTGCATCTCTACATTGTTTCTCTCATGTCTCGTGCAATTGATGAACTAATAATACTCTGCAACCTTTTGTTTTGGGTAAGGAAGGAGCTTGTGTAATTTAGTTGCTCATATGTTTACTCAGCTGACCACACATCTGTTTATGCAATAGACTTAGGTTTGGGAGATGTATTAGTGCCCCAGATGCACTGTTCTCTCTGTTTATGCTAGATAAAGTTTGGTCCTTTTGCTTTGTGTGCGCGTTACTGTTTTCCTCTTCACGATCCAGCATTAGCTGATTCAGCCTTTTGTGTTGCTTAGATACGACTTATGTAATGAGTTACATTTTTCGTTCAGGTTCGATTAGGTTGGCACGATGCTGGTACCTATGACAAGAACATTACTGAGTGGCCCAAGTGCGGTGGAGCTAATGGTAGCTTGAGATTTGAAGTCGAGTTAAAGCATGGGGCCAATGCTGGTAATGCTTCTTCTCAATCGATCATCTGTAACTTCATGATGAGGGACTACTCTTACATTTAGTTTCATGTCAGGTCTTGTGAATGCTCTGAAGCTAATCCAACCGATCAAGGACAAGTTTTCAGGTGTTACCTACGCAGATCTGTTTCAGCTTGCCAGCGCCACAGCCATTGAGGTCCTTCAAATCGCTGCAGCTTACTGATTAAGTGATGGTCATTCATAAATGCTTCTTGTTAATGATGATTGCCTGACTGGTTGTTCTGGTTTCTTTCATTTCAGGAAGCAGGTGGCCCCAAAATTCCCATGATCTATGGAAGGGTTGATGTTATTGCCCCTGAACAATGCCCACCAGAGGGGAGGCTTCCTGGTCAGTAATAATGACTTCGTGACTGATCTTAACTCATGTGCCAATTGAGGTTGAGTTTGACTCAGAATCCAGAAACTAGAACATAGGGTTGTTCCAATAGTTTCATTTGATGTTAATCCAAGCATACTGTTGCAATCATTACTTAGTGATCGAAACACCGAATCACTATCTGATTCATTAACTTTGTATGGTTGTGCTCAGAGTTCCACCACATAGCAAACTTTCAGCTAACTCCCTGATTAAAACTTTGATAAACTATCTCTTATCAAAGCATTATCATATTTAAACCCACAGATGACTTGTATTTGCTTGCTCATTTTTTCATGAAAGTTTGGCTTGTCAGTACACTGGCAGCTTTCAACAGATTAGTATTACCAAAGTTTATGATCCATGTCACATAAAATATACTTTGTCCTAGTCCTGGACATCATCCACTTTAAGCTAAGACACATCCTATTCCTATCAGATTTATGGTACCTAATGTTTGCTTGCCTGCAAGGTGCAAATTTGGCACACCAAATATTAAAATACAAGCAAAATGCTGATGCAATATTGCAAGTAGAGGATGTAAATACAGTCCTGGCTAACTTTTAATGGTATCCCTTTTCATTCCACCAGTGTTTGTTGGGTTATCTGTAGTGCCTCCAAATTCAGCTTTTGAGATGCTTAGGACAGATTAATCTATACTCTTTTGGAATTTAATTAGTAAGATTTGAAGGGTAGAAACAATCTAAAGTCATAGAACAGTGTTATGTAATCTTTAAAGCACAAGTCTTTTTAAAGAATTACCTTTGTGGGATCTACAGTCTGGTCAAATCAAATGGCTGAACATGCAGAGTGCACAAGGTAAATTGTTTCAAGTTCCAACATCCTACAATGTAACAAAATATTGAGAAGCTGCGCTACCTAGAATAGAATCATGTTCATACAGTTGTATTATGGTCATAGAATTAAAAACGTCACTGCACATTATCTTCCTAAGCATTGCAATGTTTCCAAACACCCCTATCTAGTGGTTCCTGATTGATCTCTTCCTGTGCCATATAATTATTTAAGTTTGACAGTTTGACATTCTCTATACTGCTTGCTTCTTTGATGTGCCAGTGCTTTATTTGTATACAGAAGATTTTATTCCAAGGTTACTCATATTTCTATTTTCTCACCCATTCAGCTGCTGGCCCACCTTCACCTGCGGAACATTTGCGTGAAGTATTCTACAGAATGGGCCTGAACGACAAGGTGTGAACTGAATGCTGTGTTTAAATTAGACTCGGCATAATTCTATATTTGCTAGTCACAACTATTTTGCACTCTGTAGGAAATTGTTGCACTGTCAGGAGCTCATACACTTGGACGGGCAAGACCAGAGCGTAGTGGCTGGGGTAAACCAGAAACAAAGTACACTGTAGGTAACCTACAGCTTTAATCATGCGTTGTCCTTTTTTTTTCAGTTATTGCATTTGCATGCCTGTCCTTCATAATTTACTTATTGTATTTTCTGTTCGTGCTAGACTGCTAGTTAATTTCTTGTTTGGCTTTGTCCTACTGATTGGTCCTTGCTTATACGCTTGCTGCAAGGACACCATATTTGATTACTTGTCCATGCTGATCTCTGATAAGACATTCCTGTCTACTCTGCCCTGGAAATTGCTTTTCACTATATTGTGGTGTGTCTGCTAGGTTTTCCCTCTATGGATCTTATCTCTATTTTCCCAACCGTTATTCTTGTAAAGATGCTCTTTGTGTGATTAGTACAGTTATAGCACCTTCACATTCATACATAGTCTTGTTTGCTGAATGGTGATGGAGTGGTGTTATCTCACTCGTTTGTAAATTGTTCTTTTGTTTGATATGCCAGAAAGATGGGCCTGGTGCACCTGGGGGGCAATCTTGGACATCTCAATGGCTCAAGTTTGACAACAGCTATTTCAAGGTATTTTCCTTAAGTTGCTATAGGATTACCTTCAGAGGCTTCGATCATGTAGCTTTAACAAAAACATGGGCATAACAATTCAGGCTATCAAAGAAAGGCGAGATGAGGACCTCCTAGTTCTGCCTACTGATGCCGTGCTGTTTGAGGATTCCTCATTCAAGGTTAGTGAAGGTTCTCATGTTGCAAAAAACTGCACAATATATCTAGCTTTTCTCTGGACCAAGTCTCATGATGGCTTTTCTTACTTGAAGATCTATGCTGAAAAGTACGCCAAGGATCAGGATGCATTTTTCGAGGACTACGCTGAAGCTCATGCCAAATTAAGCAATCTTGGGGCAAAGTTTGACCCGCCAAAGGTAAAAGGAATCATGACACTTTCCATTCTTGAGAGGTAGAAAATAATTCTGTTCTTAGGTTATGTAACACGCTTTTCATTGAAATGTTTGCAGGGTATCTCACTTGAGTAGCTGTGGATGGAGGTGACTGAACAGGACAGGGTCATGTTCCTTTGCACGACCATTTTCCAAGGTTTTACAAGGAAAAGTTGTTCGAGTTCAATGACAGTTCCCCAAATTGGATTCACTGATTAAAGGAAGTTTTTTGTGCTCAGCATGCTCTATTTGAGTAGTATGCTACACTATGAATAAAGCAGCATCGGTCATTTCAGGATAAATATTTGTTACACTAACCGACGTTTACCTTGGTTGCTGTATGGTACTGCATTCAGCTTACCAAATGATCATGTTCCCACCGAATTGAACCAAATTTTGTTCTTCCGTGTGACCTGTTTGTCATTTATGCTAGATTACATGTTCAAATCCTATGGCACTCCCAAACTTGAGTTTTCATTGAGATAGCATGTATACGATTAATATGCTGCTCTGAAGGTATCAACTCATGTCCTTTTTTTTTTGGGGGGAAATAAAAACAACTCATGTCCTTGTTAGACAACCCAAAACGGTCTAAATCAGTGTCCAGCAATATCCCTTCAGCATATCCTCCAGCAGAAACGCATATCTCCAACTGGGATTGGAGCTTGCTGTTTTTGTGCTTACCGTGTTGAACTGGGTTTGAAGGAGTCGCAGTGTGCATGTGATCCTCTATAGCTCATGCAATATTAGTATCAGTTCAACACTTCAATAACGAATCATTCTCTGGCAGCACTGTGGTTGTAAAACCACTCGGATTTAAGAACTGTGCGAGGGACACATTCTATTGGCCATGCAGAAAATCATGTAGCAATGACATACATTAAGGGCTCCTTTGGGTACGTCAAACCCTGCGGGGATCCCCGCCGATTCCGCGCGGCTGCTGAGGCCCGGCGATCTGCTCTCCCTCCAAGTCCCTTTGGCTGTTTGGACACCACCCTGGCAAAAAAACACGCGTGCCATTCTACCCCTACCACCGTCTAACCACGCGGAATTAAAAAAACGTCTCCTGGCTCATGAATTAGTTTCCCCATCCTCCCCCCGTCAGCTGATGACTCCCGTCGAGGCGCGATTTGTCTCAGACCGCATCGCAGCCTCTACCTCCATGCTGCGAGCAGATTGCACTAGCGACCTTGCCTCAAGAACAGGCGTCACTTGTTCCCAAACGATAAGATAGAATACCCACAGGGTTCGCTGGTGATGTCATTTGCACGTATAATTTTTCCTTTGTGATTTTGTTCCACGTGCCTTTGGTCCCCTGGCATCCAAAGGAGCCCTAAGACATAGGAAGACTTCATATTTACAACTAAAAAGATACAATAAGTCACTCTAGATGACCAATGATTTCATTACAGAATACAAAGTAAGAAACACTCTACCTGGAGTCCTAGCCTACCAAGCTACTGCTAAATTTTGGCCTGACCTACTGCCTAACCTGAAGAGAATTGAGCTTCTTGTTTATCTCCCCAAACTTTTCCTTCAAGCGCTTGATCTGAATCCAACGAAACAATACTAATTATTCGGAATGATCTTAACATGCTAAGCACTTAAAACTGTAGTTCTTTTTATATAGAAAGACATACCCGCTTCAGTTCAATCTCCAGCTCTCGCTTCTTCTGCCCAAGTGACTGGCGCAGCTGAGTGACATCAAAGATGCTACCAAGTTCCTCTTCGAAAGCTGATTCAAGGTCTTGTCTTAGAAGTGCTGGTAATTTGTCAACAATCGGCATGAGGAGAAAGCAATTGAACTGCAATTTCATGATGAACCAAAGCATTATTCCATGAACAAAGGAAAAGGAACAGCTTAGTAAGAAATATCTGGTGAGCTAGTGCATAACAAGTTTTCGGATGAGGGAGACCTTCAGTTCAGTTGTGACAAGAAAATGCTCTTTGATTCCATGAAAAATCTGGTGAACCAGCGCATAAACAAGTCTTTCAGATGAGGGCACCAGCCGTCTGTTCCAGAGTGTGCTATCCAATAGATCAACTAGTCTTGTCTCTGGCACAGCACTGGACGAATTTGTGTCTGAAGAATGGTTTGACTTCGAGTCACCCTTTGCCCTATCCTGTTTGTTGTCATTCAACCCAGAAAACTGCTCGTTCAGTGTATTTACTGATAGTTGCTCCGGTGCAACAAATGAATCGAGGAAGTGTCTCAATCCAGCACGGTTCTGCATCCAATAGAGCAAAACATCACACATGCTGATAGCAAGTATTTAAAATTCCTAAGGTGTAAAAATTGCACCTTGTTGTGAAGGGACCAAGTGACATAACGAGTGGTACTCTCCAAATCTTCCATACACCTGCATTAGAAATAAAAATCTATATTACTCATGTAACAATTAACACAGCCAATAGAAACACATCAGTGGAAACACAAATGTTTAGCAGTTATCACTAAGGAGTAAGGAGCGAGCATGAACAAAAGCTAACAAACACATTAGCAGTAAATATCTCTTAACAGCTGCATCTATAAGGTCTTGTTTGTTTTAGCTTGCAGATTGTGGACAGTGGATTTCAGGTTGTTACAATCTGCAAGCAAAGGGGGAGGCAGATTGTAACAAACTGCAGGCTAAAACAAACAAGGCGTAATTCTATTTTAGTAATCCGCTTAACTGAAAAACACAAACCCCTCAAATCACTTATTACAAAATGCTCAGGGACACAGGATTTGGCATCAACAGATCAAACAGAGGTAAAAGGTATGATGGTACGAAACTAAGAATTGGGATGTCCACATTCCACCATTTACACTTCATTGATGAATGCAGTTCTTTGATTCTTTTTTTTTTCTCGAACACGCAGGAGAATAAAGGAGTGGGTTTAGAAACCCCATACAGCCACACACCTACACACACCCTTTTACATCTAATATTGTACCTCTCTCTCAAATTTCAAACTTGACCCAAGATCACTAGAGAGGAACTCACACATTGGCTCTAGAGCAAGGAGATTGGATATTCCCTGAGCTCTGGCCAAACTCCACAGGACAAACTCATCTTTTACCGAAACCAGAACACTATTTAGGCTCGGTTGAATCCCATCAAACACGCAGTGATTGCGATGATTCCAAATGGATCAAGCTCCCAGAATGATGATGGAATTGAGACCTTTTTTAGTCTGGTCATCAACCCCAGAATTAGTTCTTGCCCACCATGCATCAAAGGAGTTGTCATCAGGCTGGGGGGAGAGGTCCTGCAGGCCGACCTTATGGAGAATGTTGTCCCATACTTGCCGGGAGAAGACACATGAGATCAATAGGTGTTCAATCGTTTCCTCAGCTTGATCACAGAGTGGGCAGCGTTCAGGATGGGGCAGACCTCTTTTAGCAAGACGATCTGCAGTCCAGCACCTATTGTGTGCCACTAACCACATGAAGAACTTGCATTTGCCTGGTGCCCAGCTTTTCCAGATTCTTTCCCAAGGCCCAAACTGTACAGCCCCAATAAAAAATCCCTCATACGCAGATTTAGCAGAGTACACTCCTGAACTAGAGAATTGCCATATATGAGCATCATCTACTTCAGGTTGCAAAGTCAAATCTGAGAGAAGGTCCCACAACTTCAAAAATTCTGTCAACACAGGTACTGTAATGGCACCCCGTATGTCCTGCACCCATTTCATCTCGGTAAGGGCTTCATACACTGTCCTTTTCCTTGTTTTGTTGTTGACTGATCCAAAAAGAGTAGGTACTAATTGATCCAGGCTCTGTCCATGCAGCCACCTGTCGGTCCAAAAAATTGTGTTCTTGCCATTGCCAACTTCCATTGTGACAAACTCAAAACAGCCTTCACTAGAGATAATCACTAGACCAAATAACTCCATCATTCCATAAATGTTGTGAAACACAATGACTAGCATTCTAACTAGTCAACTCCCTGCCCACCACCGAGAGCATATGTTGAGAAGGATCCATACACCTTTTCATCAAATATGATATTCCATTCAATCTTAAAGTGTACCTGTTTTATCTTTTTTCAATTTGAATGGAAACTGCAAAGTGACAGCTGACAAGCATAACTAAGTAAATGAGTGAAAAACGTTTTTAACACTTCATAGATAAAGCCAAATAGCCAACCTATATTTTTCAAAAGGTAATCCATAGATAGCACAATAACTGTTGACAACAAGAAATGTTAGAAGAGGTATCTGCAGTTTCAACTCAAAGATGCTAGATGCTAGATGCAAGATGTATGAGCATTGCCTTTGCAAATAAATTGTATTTTGACTATATTGCACACAAGCAAATAAACAAGAAAGCCATTCATATGTATCAGAATCAGGAAGGTTTTTACCTTTGACGGCATGATTGCTCAGTGGATTCAGCAAACCTCTTGAATGCTTCCTGGACACGCCTTACAAGCACTTCATGGCTACTAAAGTGCTCACCATCTTTCTGCAAAGTCCCATCAGAGTAATTTCCAAAAAAGACAAAGAAAAATCATATCATTTGAATAACCTAAGGACAAATTAGTACCTCCAAGAGATAAACAGAGATTGGGATCAGCCTCTTCAGTATGTACAAAAGCCTAAAACCCAACTGCGTTAAGATTAAGTAACAGTTATCCATTCAGAAACATAGTAGTCAAATCAAGATGAAAGCCTATCAAACCACTACAAAATAGATGAACTATTTAATTATTTTGTTGATCATGCTATTGGTACCACTATATAATGAGATCACATGCTTTAGAAAGGGAATGTCTTGCACAAGAAGCCCAAATGAAAAAGATACATCTATCATGAAAAAGACTGTTGCAGGTTTCTGAAACCATAATCACACAAAGTATGACAAATATATCTGGAAATGGAACACGATGAAATCCAAATGGCAGATCAATAATGAGCCCACACTTGAGGCAAGCTGACCAACCTGATGAAGGAATGGCTCAAAGGTGTCACGTGCTTTTGCCACAGCAATTACACAAGCAGTCCTAACAAAACCAGTCAATGTTCAGAATGAAGAAAATGTACACAGTGCATCTATATTATTTCTGAATGAAAATGTGCTTATTTATATTCAATTCAAGAAAACTAAGTACAGACGTACAGTTTTACTCAGGTCAATTTCAGTCAAGTTAAATTAATTATAAATTAAATTCTGTACGGTTCTAAAAGCTCGGCATTTAAAATGTCCAATATAAGGATGCCATCTTTAAAATAAAGAAACCACAAAAAACTCAAGAAAGAAAGAATAGTAGACACATACAACTTCAATTAACACCTCACATTGCATTTTCTGTTTTGATGCAATTTCTTGTCAATATAATAATCCTACCCTTAGCATGAGCCTAGAATATCCTATTCAATGTTTGCAGATTTAAATCTGTTCCACTGATGCCATTTTAACTCAATGTGATCATAGGAATGTAGGATCCTAGGATCCATATCATGGTGATAACGCTAAGAAATAGAGTACCTGGAGTAGTTTGTCCCATCATGAATATCCTCAACACCACAAGCATTGACAATTTCCTCCCTAGTTATTGGAGGGCATCTGATACTACCAACTACCAGACGAAATTCAGCCATTGCCCGATGGTATTGTGCACCACCATAAAGACGCATGCCACCATTCTGCAAAAAGGACATTTCAAGCATTTGATAAATGAATTAAAAGTGCACTTAACATAATTGTAATCTATATTACATCCATAGCCAAGGTAGTAGTTATATGGTGTGTGAGAAACAAATAAACTAATACAACTAGCTGATCAGTGGAGATTAAATATGTTTACCCTTTAGCTTCTGTAGAAAACAAATGGTTAATGTTCAAAACGTGGTAAAAGATCATGGCTTCATGGGGTCAACTACTCAAGTAGCTGAAGTCAGCGTGTCACTCCTAAGTACTAATTGATTAAAGGCTTGTCACTTGTTAGGAAAGCATATTAAACACAATCAGAGAGTACTAGTGTGCATCTTTAGTACCAAAAAAAAAAAACAGAACTTACTGGCATCATCTTGTTCGGGAGCTGGAAATTCTCACTTCCAGTAAATGTTCCTCCATTAATCCTCTCGTTAACTAAAGTTTCTCCTGTGGCCAACAGTTTAAATAAGTCACAACAAAGCAGAATGTAGCAAGAACCTCAAGACCTCCATAAAATAAATCACAGGAGATTAAACACTCACCAAATTTATCGGGAGGTGCCACCACCATGCCTTTCAATAGCAAAGATAACTGAAATGAAATAATCCGACATTAATTTTAAGTGTATCTCAAACAGCTTTTATTTCTGAATACAACATTCTAAGACAACTCGTGGAATCAAATGCTGTAGTGCAAGAAGATTGCACCATCTAAGTAATAATGTAGTATTTTCATTATAATATGTGGATCAAGCACCTTGGTCAAAAATGAGTCATGGAATATCTGAGCTTTCTCCTTCAGTTTGGCTCCATCCAGACCACTGTTCAGATATAGGATGTCAACATAATTAATACATCTTGAATAACAAATATAATATCATGAGCATATAAAGTTAGACGTATGGGGAAGAACGCAACCCAGCCTTCTGTCAAAGCTTTGAGCTTCAGAAACACCACATAAACCACTACAAGGAAGGATCCACTTTATTGAACAGGGTAATCAACTAAAAGTCTAAAACGTCACCTGAGTTCATGACTGATTTCACACAGTTTACTTGTTGTATTTCGATGTTGCTTCTCAAGAAGTGGAATGATTAATGGAACACTCTCAATATACCTTTGAGTAACAGAAACAACATTTGTATGATTGTATCATTCAGAAGAAAGATATGAGAATGACAAAAGACATTATGTTGTACAGTTAATACACCAGTACCTCTTCTGCAGCAACTCTTCCAAATATAATCTTAAGTTACCCACTCCAATTCTATCTTTCTCCTTGGTTGTAAGCGACCTTCCTAACTTGTCTTCAATAGATGCAACATCTTCCAACTCTCTTGATAAGATGGCCTTCATGACGACACAATAAAAAAACATTAGAGGCCTTGTGGAAAAGTTTCCTGCTTACATTACACACACATAAGAGAAAAAGGCTCAAATTTGGATGTCTAGTGAGCAATGCTGGCAAAAAAAAAAAAAAAAAAAACTGCACTAAAACACAGGCATCGTGTACTGTAAAGCAGTTCAGTTAGAACATTCCCTAAAAGCACTTTTTTTCTTTCTATGTTATTCCATTCCTTCGTAATATATTGTGTTTAGGATTTCAGTAGTCAAACTCTGTTGATTTTTTTATGAAAAACTGTGGGGAAGTTCAGCACAGTATTGTTATAAAATAAAGGCGGTTATGTAGCCCCTGGAAACAATAACATTCGTTGTTATGAGACAGTACTTTCACAATATAATATCTTTTAAACTTTTCACTCACATATTACTATGAAAGCTGATCGTCAACATTCCTTATTGTAGATTGTGTTGTTAAAAAAGGTAACATACATGAAAGGGCTACAACATGTCATTTGATCCAATAGCAGCCCACATTTCACAAACATAATAGAAGCGTTATCAATTACATTCTTAACCCCCACAGGAAGTACAAACCTATCTGTTAGTCACAGGTTATTCCTAGAGTAGTCTTTACCCTACAGAAACGGATAGAAATATAGGCACATCCGCACATACTATTGGAGTGACACCTCGAAGTGGAGTCTGAGAAGCTTCAAAAGTCAAAGCAAGCATGTCTTTTATATTTGAGTTAAAAAATCAATATGTAATTAGAAAAGCACAGAAAGTACTCCCTCCTTTTATTTCTGTTAAGGCATGGTTTGACCCCATGCGGTCACCAATGTTACATTTTGACCATTATTATTTTATCTCCAATGCAGTAAAGCTGTGTATCATTTTATCAAGAAGAAAACAATAGTACATTTTAACCATTAATATCTCATATGTTGTATGTTCATGAATATGAATTTGATATTATGGAAATGTTTTCAAATACAAATCCAATGGTATCAAATTTCCATGGTATAATCTACAAATTCTTAGATTAAGTGCTAATCAAAGATTTAACAAGTTTGTATCTTAGGTTGTGTGCAAACCTTACAAAATGAAAATGAGGGAGCCTGTGGCTTCCATGTGTAACTTTTTTTTGAAACTGCTTCCATGTGTAACTTGAGTCTCTAAAAAGCTATTAAAAACTAAAGGTTTTCAGTTAGTTGTAATCCTCTTGTAAGGGATTTTACATCATACTGAGTTACACATTCGCTCTTGAGTTTAACCAGATTGCTCTGTCAGGTACATAATGAAACTAGATGGCCAATTGCTTTGTTGGCACAGAAGGATAAAACTCTGAGTCTGCTTAATGCTAGAGTTCAAGCATGTTTATACAGTATACAATTCGATACTTCACAGGAGGAAGCACAAAGCTCTAAAGAATTTAGGCGGTTCTGGCTTGTGATACCTTCTTAAACTCTTCATTTGATCTGAACACAGCTTCATGGCAAGAACCAACTCTACCAGAAGGTACTGATGTGAAAAAGGGAGAATCTCCCAATAAGGAAACATCTAGCACACAAGTTGGTGGGTGAAGAAACACTTCAACATCAGAAGGCCGGGCAAATTGTGGTATTTTAGTGTCCAGTTTTGTGGAGACTAGAACAGTCCTGGTGAGATCAGGATCAACCTGCAGTACCAAAAGGAAAAAAGAAAAACTCTGTTTAGTGGAAACATGTTATCAGTTGCAGAAGGGTTGTGCTAGGTCAAGGTTGAAGGCTTAGAACGAAGTCCAGAAAGTGATTTTGCCTTTTGATTATGTATGGCAACCCAATAAGTTATGACTACAACTGGTGAAAAATCATGCAAATGTTAGTCTTACAGGAATTAGGCATATAAAAAAAGATTCCTTCAAAACCAACCTGCATCACTACTCTCCGTGTAGTTGCATTACTCCAATCACTACAATCTTCAAGGCACAGTATAATGGTCTCTTTATGCTGGATTTTAGCACGAACAAGCCTATCAACAGCAGAAGCCTGGCTCTGCATGTCACAAGATTGCCAAGGGTGGAGCAGTTTCAGTTCGGAATCAAATGCACCTAAAAAGGTAAAAATGGCTGCTGTAAACTGATAGAGGAAAACAAACAAAGTACCTGCAAAACTCTGTTTTTACGGCCAGGAGCTGGAAGGATGAGGCCTGGAGTGTCAATAATGGTGAGATTGGGGGAATGCTTGTATTCTACCTTAATTATGATTTCCTTCTCTGAAAATTGGCATGGATCATTCTCCAACCTCAAGTTTTCAGCTTCAATATATGCCTGAAAGTAGTTGAGCAAAGTTTACAAAATAATGTCCTTGTGCGACAAAAGTTTGGGTAAACTAACAAAATGGAGAAACAATTTCCTAGTTAATCAAGCAATCAAAAGCTTCATATTGGACATTATGAACAGTCAAATGGTTTCATATATCAAGATGGTGCTTGGTAGCAATTGTCCTATATGCCTCCTTTTTCTAGCAAACTAACCTAAAAGTTCAAAAACAGTATAATCTATACAGAACCACGAATTTAGCTATTGGATGCTGGTCGAACTTTCAAAATAAGTATATCGAGTTAACTATCAAATAGCTTCTCCAACGTCATTTTGAAATATACAGAGAGCAGTCACATAAATATACAAGGCGCATTACAAATAGGGAATATTGTGTTCTTGCCCCTACTTTGATGTCCAATTGTGATTTTACCCTCGTTTTTGTCATCGTTGTGATTTTACCTCTGCTTTGTAAGTACTAAGGCTCAGTTTACCCTTTACTTTTAACTCTGTTAGTTGTATCTGAAATAAAAAAAAATAGAAAACAACAAAACCCTTCACAGTAAGACCAAATGACAACAATACCCCTTATCCACTCATACCCTCCCCAATCCCCCATCCTCTACCGTATCCTCTCTCCCTCCGGTCTCCTCCCCAGCCCGACGCGTACTCCTCGCGAAGTCGCCCGACGCGCCCCCTCCCCAACCCTCCCTCTCTCCTCCACTCTCCCCCACGACGGCTCCCGGCGGTGGTGCGCGGTTGCCGCGAGTGCGGGCCCAGCTCCCGACGGTGGCTCCTCCCGGATCCAGCGTCGGGCAGGGCGCAGGGCGGCTCGGCCCCTCCCGGCGGCACGAAACAGCAGCAGCAGCGGGTGGCGTCATGGATCCGCCCTCCTCCCCTACCTCAATGGCTCCACCGGCGGGTGGCGTCGCGGATCCGGCGGGATGGAGCCACCACGGCATGGATCCGGTGGAGAGGTGGCCTCCGGCGGCGGATCCGGTGGGATGGAGCCACCACGGCGCGGATCGGGCGGAGAGGTGGCCTTTGGCGGCGGATCCGGCGGGATGGAGCCACCACGGCGCGGATCTGGCGGAGAGGTGGCCTCCGGTGGTGGATCCGGCGGGATGGAGCCAGGCCCCGTTCGTCGGGCGGGCAGGCGCCCGGGCGTCGGGCGGCCAGGGCGTGGGCGGCGTGAGCATGGGGTGCGGCTGGGTGGCTCCTTGCGCCGCGCGACGAGGGCACGGGCGTGGCCCCGAGCGGCTAGGCCCCGTTCGTCGGGCGGCGAGGGCCCAACGGCTGAGCGTGGGGTGCGGCTGGGCGGCGACGAGGGACGGGCGCGGCCCCCGGGCTCCTCCAACTCCAACTCCTCCAACACCTCCGCCTCCGGGACCGAGAGAGTCCTATGGTGGCACGGCGGGGACCGGTTCCCCGCGCAGGCCGACGGCGGGTTCCGCTCACTCGTCTCCGGGGACGGCTTCACCTACGCCGTCGAGACCAACACGTCTGCGGCCATCCGATGCTGGGGCCCGTAGGGTAGCGCGGTGCAGGCGGGCTCGCCAACGCGACCGCCACGCCGTACCTCACCGCGGGGGGCTCCCGAGCATGCGCCGTCCTCGCCTCCGGCGCCGCGCTCTTCTCGGGCGCGAACGACGTCGGCACGACGACGAACGCCTCTGCCGCCGGCGCGCTGCCAAGGGACCTCTTCGGGTACGGCCTGGCTGTTGGCGACTCCCACGCGTGCGCGCTCTGCCGGCCCAACCACACCGCAGTGTGCTGGAGCCTCGGGGGGCCCACCACCACCCTGTACGAGCCGGCACTCGGGATCTCCTTCCAGTTCCTCGTCGCCGGTGGCAACTTCACGTGCGGCGTCGCGTCCAGCGACTACAGCGTGTACTGCTGGTCCACGGGCGCCGATGCATTGTTTACCGCTTTTTTTTGTTGGGCTTGTATGTTGGATGAGGCTTGGTGCCGTATGGATATTTTTGCTACACTTTCACTTGATGTGATATCATATATCTATATTTGCATGCTGTGTGGAATCATATGTAACAAGTTGTCTAATGATGCTGTCAAATTTAAAAAAAAAACAGGGGTAAAATCACAATGTATTCGGATAAGTAGGGGCAATTTCGCATAGGCAAAGAGCCCATTTGACACCATTACCTGCTGTTCACGGAATATGGTTAAACTTAAGCTTCGTTTTCAAAAAACAGGGATAAAATCACAACGATGACAAAAGCAAGAGTAAAATCACAACTAGACATCAAAGTGGAGGCAAGAACGCAATAGCCCCTTACAAATATCCCATGCACCCCTTCTCCTTAAAATGCTCTTCGTCTTATTCTCTTCGTAATGACCAATCCCATCTGCAGCACCCCAGGTCCTCCTTCCAGCACAGGACACAGGCAATTACACAAACACAAGGGGTGCATTGCAGTTTACAGACATACAAATAAGAGCAGAGGGAGCACACGGGACACGGCAGCGGCATTTCCACAAGCACTTGCGCACGCCGTCAAGGAGCGTACGCACCTGGATGTCGGCGAGCGGCATGGGGCGCGCGGCAACCCCGGCTTCGTCATGCTCGTCGGTGTCACCGGCTGCAGAGAGGAGGCGGCACTGGGGCTCGTCGCAGCGCGGGTTGAAGCGGAGGTGGAGCGCGACGGGGCGGCGCGTCTTGGTGCCGCCGCCGACGTGGTTGAACTGGAAGCCCATGAGCGCCTCGACCAGCGCGCTCTTGCCGTCCGTCTGGTGGCCGACGACCACGACAGCCGGCGCCAGCGCCACCGCCGCGCCGCCCAGCTCGGACGCCAGCGCCTGCAGCTCGTTGTACGCCTCGTAGAGGAGCTCCCGCGCCTCCCCCGCGTCCGCCTCCGGCGGGACCGGCGTCGCCATTGGGGGCAGTGGCGTGGGTGGAGAAGTGGGGGTGGTTTCAAGTCAAGCACTGCCCGTGCGGCCGCGCGTTCTCTCTTTCAGCTGGACTGCTTGACGAACGAGATTCTCAGCGCTTCACTACATTTCATTTTGCATTTTCCATCATTGTTTTCTTTTGAGCAGACAACAGAGACCTTCCTTGTTCCACCAGACTCACTTTATGCTTTACGGGCTTAACTGTTTTATTTTCTGAAAAAACCGCAACAGTTTTGTCACGAATTTTATTAGAAACAATAAAAGTAAAAACAAATGATGGCTTATTTTTTTAAGTGCAAATGAAGCTAAGGGCTTCTCCAACGCAACGACGTCGAATACTACCCAAAGGCCACGTCCGCTTTGGTCCTCCATGTCATGGTAAATGGTAGCTCCGCAGCGTGTTAGAGTGTTTTGCATGAGATACAGCAGCTTCATCTAACAAAAATAGGAGGCAGCAGGCAGGAGCGCGTTGTGATGCTGCGGGACGGTGGCTTGCTTTGCAAAATGTCAAAAGAAAGAAGAGAGACGTCAGCGCACGAGACTCAAGTATTGTAGCAGGTGGATTAGACTTGTGGGAGTTTGAAATCTCTAGCTTGATTTTGGATAATTGATGAAACCTATGGACTAATCCTAAGTGCTAAGTGTGTAGACAAGAGAGGATAGTTCATTCCAAGTGGTGGAGCAAGAGGATGATCATGGTGGATGGTGATGACCAAAAGATGATCAAGTACTCAACTTGGAAAAGAAGAAAGAGAAAACAAAATCCTATGGAGATCAAAGCAAAGGTATTGGTTAGAGTTTTGGTTTTGGTGATCAAGACACTATAGATAGTGTGGTCACATTTAGGATCGATAGCCGTACTATAAACAATGAAAATATTTGGCTAAACGGTTTATCGAATGCCACTTGGTGACATAATTCTTGCATATGCATTTAGAAACCTAGTGTGCTAACTTAGACCCTTGTAAAATGCTTTAAAAAATACTAACACACGAGCACATGAGTTGTACACACTGTGGTCAGCAACTTGAAAGCAAGGGCGAAGTGGTTGTGGACTTAGAAAAAGAAAAGGAGGAGTTGGGGTAGAACCAGACGCAGGCTTCGGGGTGGACTTGCTCGTCTGGTGTCTAACCCTAGCCTTTGGGCTATGGCGCAGCAGAGACCGGACGCTGCACCGGACACAGGGCGTGCATCCGGTCAGCGGTTCCAGAGGAGGTGCAACGTGGTCTGGCGATCGAACGCTGGAGCGAGCACGCGACCGAACGCGCAGGGGCCGCGTCAAGTCACGGCTGACGTACGCTAGTGCGTCCGGTCACCTAGGACTTGACACGTCCGGTCAAGAAAATTACGCTCTAGACCCTTACTGGACTCGACCGGACGCCATGTGTTGGTGAGTCGGGTCACTTTGAGCTGTGCGTCCGGTCTAACTTTGACTAAGCAAGTGAACATTAAGTGACCGTTGGAGATCTGCAGCGCTCGTTGAATGGAAGGACACATGGCCGACCGAACGTTGGGGTGCGTCCGGTCAGCCCGAGAGCTCCCAACGGCTCTCTGAGCTTTGGGGCTCTATAAATAGGAAGGTACCGGCTTGGGGCTCACTCGCTTGATATTTTGACATACTTGACATCTTTGTGATTCTAAGCAAACACCTCTCTCTCATCTCCATCATTGAATTATCATCATAGTGAGATTGGGAGTAATTCCAAGTGCATTTGCTTGAGTGATTGCATCTAGTGCCACTTGGGGATCGTTGTGGCTGCGGATTTCTTGTTTTTCTTGGTGGTTGTCGTCACCTAGACGGCTTGGAGCAGTGGTGGAGCTTCGGCATGTGTTGGTGATTGTTCGTGGCCGGCTCCGCTGATTGTAAGGGGTCTTGCACCTTCCTCGACGAAGAGCCACAAGGTAGCTCTAGTAAATTGCTCGTGTCATTGAGTTAACTCACTTATGGGTAGGTTCTTGCGGTGTCCATTTATTGGACGAGGTTTGTGCAACACCTCTTAGCCACTGAATCATCAAGTGTTCATCGACACAATGAGGACTAGCATGCCGGCAAGCATGTGAACCTTGGGAGAAAAATCTTGTGTCTCTTGTATGATTGGATTTCTCTCGGTGATTGATTGGCTTCATCTTGTGATTGGTTCATTCCTCGACACGGCTGTATAATCACCCTACTCACTCCATTACTTTCTTACAAACTAGTTATAGCAAGCTCTTTAATGTAGCTAGTTTTGAGAGCTTGCTTTATAGCTTAGTTTCATCTAGTGGAGCTCTTTAGTGTAGCCTTATTGAGAGCTCTTAGTGAGTAGTGACTTAGCTCTTGTGTGTGCCTAGTGATCATAGTAACTAGAATTATTGGAATAAGTAGCTTGCAACCCTTATAGAGCTAGAGTAAAATTATATTATGTCGTTTGTTGTACTAATCAATTGCTCTAGTGCCTTATAGAGTTTTAAATAGGCTATTCACCCCTCCCTCTAGCCATATTAGGACCTTTCAAGTAGAATCGGAGCCGTGGTCACCGTTTGATTGAAGGCTTAACAACCTTGATGTCAAAAGATGGCTCAAGTTGTGTTCAACCATGTGGGAGATAAACCACCGTTCTTTGATGGCACATGCTATGATTATTGGAAGAGAAAGATGAAGATGTACCTTGGTTCAATCAATGATCAAGTGTTGGATGTGACCGAGAGTAATTATGCTATTCTTGATCCCAACAATCTCACTAACCAAGACAAGGTCAACAAGCAATGCAATACAATGGCTCTCAACACCATCTATAATGCCATTGATTCCAATGTGTTTGAGCAAATCAAGGATTATAAAAGAGCTAGTGAGGTATGGAAGAGATTGGAAGAAACATATGAGGGTACACCGGTAGTGAAGAGTGCCAAGTTATACATCCTTAAGGACAAGCTGACAAGTTTCAAGATGAAGGATGATGAGATTATTTCGAAGATGTTCCATAGACTTCAAGTGATTGTCAATGACTTGAAGGCTTTGGGTGAGAAGATCAATGATGATGATGTCTCTCATTGGTTCTTGATGTGCTTACCTCTAAGATTTGAGACATTGAGATTGATCATCATTAGAGGAGGATTGAAGCAACTAACCCCTAACCAAGTACTAGTGATGTCATGACACAGGAGACATACCATGTGGAAAGGGATGAGGTTGACAAGGATAAGAAGAAGGAAGATGAAGACAAGAAGAAGAAGAGTGTAGCATTCAAGGCTAGCTCATCATCCAAGAACAAGGGCAAGTCCAAGAAATAAGAATCAAGTAATGATGAAGATGCTAGTGACATTGATGAAGAGGCCATGGCTCTCTTTGTGCGCAAGATGGGCAAATTCATGAAAAAGAAGGGCTATGGTGCAAGAAAGAGAAGAGATCACAACAAGGAGTATGTGAGGAGATGCTACAAGTGCAAGAGCAAGGATCACGTTATAGTGGATTGTCCCTACAATAGTGACACTGATGAGGATGACAAGAATAAAGAAAAGAAGGAGAGGAAGGAGAAGAAGGAAAAGAAAGAAAAGAAGATGACCTTCCAAAAGAAGAAGGGTGGAGGCTATGTGGTCACTTGGGATAGTGAAGGCTCATCTGATGATGGTGATTCTATTGATGATGACAAGAAGTCTCTCAAGAAGGCACTAGCAAGCATCGCCATCAACAACAAGCCTTCCATCTTTGACACTCCATTGACATGCCTCATGGCAAAGCTTATCAAGGTAAATTATGATGTGAGTGATAATGATGCTTGTGAAAGTGATGATTGTAGGAGTGATAATGATGATGAGGAGTACACCAAGGAGGAGCTCTTGGACATGTGTGAGCAAGTACACACTTGCTTTGAGATGAAGAGAAATGAGTGCAAAGAATTACGCAAGAAGGTCAAATCTCTTGAGCAATCCTTTGATGAGCTCAATGCCACTCATGAGAGGCTAATAGAAGCCCATGAGAAGCTTGTCAAAGCTCACACTAAGCTTGAAAAAGCTCACTCCTCTCTCCTTGAGCAAATCAAGAAGGAGGAAGACAATAAGGAGCAAGTGATTGTGTCTTATGATGTGGGACTAACATGTGATATTCTTGATGAATCTTTTTATAACCCATTGTTGTTGCTCCCACTAACCCTTCTTGTAGCACTACCACTTCTACTTCACCTTTGAGTGATGGTTTCACTTGTGATGCCTCACTAATGGTGAAAAATGAGACCCTCAAGAAGGAGATGAATGAGGTCACTCGTGCCTTGGACAATGCCTATGGTGGAGATGCTCGCTTGCCAAAGTGCTTGGGTAGCTAAAGGTTTTCTCTCAACAAAGAGGGATTAGGTTAACCCCCAAGAAAGGCAAGGCGGCCTTTGTCACTCACAAGACTAGTTTGTGAAGGGCAATGGTCGGTTTTGCAATAGATGCAAGCAAGAGGGGCATATAGAGCAATATTGCAAGACTAACCAGAACAAGCAATCTAATGTATCCTCAATTCAATTTGATTCTTGTTACATGCTTGTTAAGGATGCCAATGGTGTGAAGGATAAGTTCATTGATACATGAATTGTGGGCCCAAAGAAGAAGGTCATTTGGGTGCCAAAGACCTTGGTAACTAACCTTCAAGGACCCAAGCAAGTTTGGGTATCTAAAAAGAATTGATATTCTTTTGTAGGTCAATTATAAAGCCAGAGAAAGGCATTGGATACTTGATAGTGGGTGCACACAATACATGATCGATGATTCAAGATTGTTTAATTCAATCAATGCAAATGATAGCAATGGGGTTGATAGTATCGTATTTGGTGATAATGGCAAAGACAAGGTCAATGGGCTTGGTAAGATTACAATATCCAATGACTTGAGTATTTCCAATGTGCTACTAGTAGAGAGCTTGAACTTCAACCTATTGTCGGTAGCTCAATTATGTGATCTTGGTTTCAAGTGCATATTTGGTGTGGATGATGTAGAGATCATAAGTGTAGATGGCTCTAATTTGATAT